GAAGCAAAAGCAACTTGAGAAGGAAAGTGTCTATTTGGCTTACGTGTCCCGGTTACAGTCTATCATTGAGAAAAGTTAGGGCAGGAACCTGGAGCCGGAAACTGAGAAGCTGAGGCCACCGAGGAAACATGTGCACCAGTTTGCTCTGCAGGCTTGTATTCAGCTACCTTTCTCGAATCAGCCAGGGCCATCTTCCCAGGGCTGGTATTACCCAGAGTGGGCTAGGCCCTCCCACATCTGTCATTCTAATTAGGAAAATGCCCAACAGACTTGCCTAAAGCCCAGTCTGATGGAGGCATTTCTCAATTTCCTCTTTCCAAATGACCCAGTTTGTGTCAAGTTGACAAAAAAAAAACTAGCGAATACTCCCCCTTCTTTCTTTCCTTCTTTTCCTCCTTCCTTCCTTCCTTCCTCCCCCTCTCTCCAAGCCCTGCTGTGTAAAGCAGACTAGCCTTGACTTGACTTTGCAACAATCCTGCTTCAGCTTCATTAGTGCTTGGGTTACAGTTATGTGCCATCTCACCTGGCTTCCCTCCCTCTTCTAATGCCCTACTTAAATCTATGTTGAAACATCTTTAATAAACTCCAATTTGCTTCAAAATTTAAGTAATTACTAAAACAAACCCCAAACTCTCCCTCGTCCTCTTTCTCTCCTGTGTCAGCGCAGCCAGGCAGATGTGTTTGATTCAGCAATAGAGAGGTAAAAGCACAGCAAATTTAGCCCGGGGCCTTGTGGTTTGGGTTTGCCCACGTGCATCCTCGCCACAACGCACGTGGCAGCACAGATCCTTCACTTCCGTGTGCTGTGCACACACCCCTCTACAAATAATGCACCTAGCACCTCGGAAACCACCTGCCTGCTTTAGGCTTCACTCCCATCTCTGAATAATAAAAATAATAACCAGATTGGGTAGTTCCTATTCAAGCACATTCCCAGTGTATCCCTAGCCAATCCAGCATAAGCTGGTTCTGGGTGTGCAATGCAGTAAGGCAAGCCATCCTTCCAGTGAACTTACAGGGAGACTCCCCTATTTACCACCTTATGCCTACGCACAAAGGAGTGTGCCTATGATTAAAATCAGATGCATTATGGGAAGGGACATGCACAGTTAGAAAAGTATGGGACCTCCAAGTCAGTTCAAGACACCCCAAGACCAAGTTCTCAGCATAGAGATTTATTTGCCCCAGAGGGACCAAGGGCAGGAATAAGAACAAAGACAGGAGCTAGAGAACGAGGAGAAAGGGGAACAAACAAGGAAGACAGGAGAAAGGTGGCAAGGCAGAGGCAGGAGAGGTTATGTTTTAGGGAGGGGACAACAAAGGGCTACATCTGGATAGAGAGGAGACAGATGTGGCTGATAGGCAAATGGCAAGTTGTTTACTTTTAACTGGGTGTGTTAATTAGGTGAGCCTAGGGGCCCTTGGATTGTGGGACTTCAATACTTTGCTACTTTCATTACTGAACCTTGGTAGTCAGCCTCAGGAGGAAGTGACCAAATAAGGGAATGGACCTCCATGACTAGCTTTAGAAATGTATCTAGCAGGTTTTAGCAAGGCAGAGGGAATGGGGGAGAAGAGCAAGGCCTGCCAGAGGATGTTTGCCATGCTTGGGCTGGCTAGAGTCCCTTCAGTGAATATATGATTTAATCTGTCAACCAGACTGCTCCTCCTTCATGGGAACTCATGAGACCCAAGCTGTAGTCTCACTCTTGCGGCCTACTGTCAACCTTGACTATGTGTCCTTCTATAATCTGTACTATTACTTTACCCCAAATAAAGTGACCCTGCTATTTTTGCATTCCTATGTGAGCCCTTATTTTCAATTCTTTGGATAAGAGGTAAGAACCTGGAAACACTAGGCCCAGAACCCAATCACCAGCAATAAAAGGCTTAGACTTCCCAGCCTCCAAAACTCTTAAGAAATTAATGTTGGGGTTGGGGATTTAGCTCAGTGATAGAGTGCTTGCCTAGCAAGCACAAGGCCCTGAGTTCGGTCCTCAGCTCTGAAAAAAAAAAAAAAGAAAGAAAGAAAGAAATTAATGTTATTTGAGTCACCCAGTCTGTAGCAGTTGGTGGGGTGGAGTAAGGTTGTTCTTGTTCGGCTCATTGTTTCGAGACAGGGTCTCAGGTAGCCCAGACTGGCCTGGCCTCGAATTTGTACCTGAGGATGACCATGAACTCCTGATCCTTCTGCCTTAGCTTCCCAAATGATGGGATCATGGTCAAGTGCAACAAACCCATGCTTGGTTGGGAGGCAGGGGTTGAGTCTCATTCCATAGCCCAGGCTGGCCTTATGCATGCAACAATCCTCCTGCCTGAGTTTTCCAGTGTTGTAATTTTAGGCATGAACTACCATTCCTGGCATTTATTTTATTATGACCCAAAGGGGTTGGGAATGTGGTTAAATCGTAGAATGCTTGCTTACAGCGTTGGGTTGGATCCCCAGCAGCACCGCATGCAGGCCAAAAGCCAAAAGAACTAAGACAACTATTCTGGGATCACTTTTCAAAGGGAGAAATCACCGGTGTAGCCACAGTCTGAATCTAAAGGCCTCCTGTGGCCTGAACTTGTTACCCTTGACTTCAAACTCTGGGCATCCATCTGCCTCTGCTTCCTGGCATTCAAGGCCTAGGCCACCAAGCCTGGCTTTTGTTTTGTTTTCTAAACAGCTCAAACTACTGTCTTGCTGGGGTTCTGGAACCCTAACCCACTTCCTATTCTCAGTGGAGAGCTCTAATTGTAGCAGGGAGCCAAGGGAGAGTAATTCTTGTTCCTGTGTGCCCTCTGCTGGCACCTTGAGAGCAGACCACACAGCAAAGGCCACTCTGTCGAGAAAGGGCTCTCATCTCCCTGGCATGACCCTTGCAGGCCTAGCAGCCTTGTTGTTAATGGTATGCTGACTCTCCCCACTGCAGCCACCTGGGGAACCTAGCCACAGGAGTAACAGGAAAGGACCTGGGCAGTGTTTTGGAGGTATTACCATCATAAAACTAAGCCAAAGGCAAACTCAAGAACAGGAACTTCTTACTGGTTTGTTTGTTGTTTTGAGATATAGTCTAACTTAGACCAGACTGACCACAAACTCATTAAAAAGCCAAGGAGTCCAGATCCTCCTGACCAAGGACTGGGATCACAGGTGCCTGCCACCATACTCAATTTATATGATGCTGGACATTGAACCCAGGTCTTAGCATTCTGCCAACTGAGCTAAATTCGAAGACCTTAAGCTGGCACTTCTAAACTGGCTTGAGGCCCCCTGGGTACAACGGGGCCACACCTATAATATCCCAGCAGAATCAAATTCAAGGTCATTCTCAGCTGTACAGCAAGTTTGTGGCTAGCCTGGGCTATACAGTACAAAAGGCCCTATCTCAAACAAAACCAAACTGTAAAAGACATCTCAATTTTTATTATGTGGGGAGAGGGTGTGCATGCCAATGCACAGGTCAGAGCATAACCCAAAGGCCTCAGTTTTTCTCCCTATGGATACTGGGATCACAGTGAGGCTGTCAGGGTTGTGTCACTAACACAGCTCATTATCACACAACTCTTTAGACTAATGTTTAGAGGTTGTTTGTTGCTAAAACAGCTCCAAAATATCCGGGCTCCCATCATTGCCCTGACATCCTGCGCACATGGCTGTGCTCTCCTTGGCCCAGTGTGTCCACATCCTGCGCACATGGCTGTGCTCTCATCACCCAGTGTGTCCACATCCTATACATGGCCACACTCTCATCACCCAGTATATACATCCTGTACACATGGCTGCACTCTCATGCCCAGTGTGTCCCCTCCAATTCCCTACATCACTGTAGTCATCACAGTGGGAAGGCATGGTGGCAACAGGCACTTGCACCTATGGTGTTAGGAGCTTGATGTTCTAGGTGGCTAGAAGAACATCAAGAAGGCAACGCCAGTGCTCCAACTGTGACAGGGCTGAGGTTTTGCTGTTTTTAAGACAGTTCAACGTAGTCCTGTTACTACGCAGACCAGGCCTCAGACTGGCAGTGATCCTCCTACCTCTGTTTCCCAAATCCTAGAATCACGGTGTGATTCTGTCTCAAAACACTGAAACAAAAAGACCCTACAAAACAGGTGAGACTGGCCAGGCAGTAGTGCACACTCCTTTAATTCCAGCACTCAGGAGGCAGAGGCAGGCGGATCTTTTGAGGTCAAGGCCAGCCTGGTCTACAGTGAGTTATAGGAGAGCCTGGGCTACACACAGAAAGCCTGTCTCAAAAAAGAAACAAAAAACAAACAAAACGGATGTGACTGGGGCCTGAGATGGTAGAGTATGTACTCAAGAGGCAGAAGCAAGTGGATCTCTTGGAGTTTCAAGAGGCTAGCTTGGTCTACCTAGTGAGATCCTGTCTCAAAACAAAACCACCCAACCAAAAAAAACAAAAACCTACTTAACTAAAGCCTGGCATGTTGGTTACATACCTTTATTTAATCCCAACACTCAGGAGACAAAGGGAAGAGGATTTCTGAGGTCAGGGCCAGCCTGGTCAACATATAGGAAGCTCCAGGACAGCCAGTAAGTAACATAGAGAGATCTGGTCTAAAAAAAAAAATTACAACTAGGGACTTCACAGATGGTTTCAGCAATTAACAGCACAGGCTGCTCTTCCCCGAGGCCCTGAGTTTAATTCCCAGCACTCATGGTGGCTCACAACCTTCTACGTGATTTGATGCCCTCTTCTGGTGTGCAGACTCTACAAGCAGAAAAAACACCCCTATACATAAAAATACATACATCTTTTTCATATTCTGCCTGCACACCAGAACTCAATATAGATGGTTGTGAGCCACCATGTGGTTGCTTGGAATTGAACTCAGGTCCTTTAGAAGAATAGCCAGTGCTCTTAACCTCTGGAAGTTAGGTCACTGGAAGCATGGCTTTGGGGGACACTGAAACCTAATAGCCCCTTCTTGTGTCTTTACTTCCTTCTCAGAATTCCAACTCCCCCAGCCCGGCCCCCCAAAAACCAGCAAGGACACCAACAAGCACTTTATATTTATGTTGTTCACAACAGCCAAGGGGTGGAAGTAACCCAAATGTCCACTGACCTGGCTGAGTTGGTAAATACACACACTTTCTCTCGGCCCCAACTGCACCCCCAAGAGTCAAGTCATGAAGAACAATGAAACAACTTGAAAACATTTCACCAAGTAAAAGCTGGCAAACACGGGAGGAAACACACCATGATCTGTTTACAGAGTAACAAATTCAGAAATTAGCTGCTGCCTAAAAACAAACGGAGACAGAGATGAAGGATGATGACAACTTCAGCCTTCGTATGGAGATCCTATCCAGGATAGTGAAGCCTAAGAATTAGACAGCAGTGATGGCTGCACAACAGAGGGTGTGCTTCATGCCCTCAACAAGAAAAATGGTTACAATTTGATAGGCACTTTTTAACATTTTGAGGTGGAAATTACATAATTTTCCCCTTCCCTTTCAAATTCATGGCTTCTTTTTTCATTAATTATTGTTAAGTGTATATGTGTATTGCTAAGTGTAACCTAAGTATGTACTTGGTGTGTATATGTTTAGGGTTAACCACTTCATATTGAATAACTGGTGTGCTCTTCCCAGAGGAACCCTATTTCTCCTGCTCTCAGAAATTCTAAGTTACTTGTAGTTCTTTGTGTAGGATTGAGGCCTGGTGTTGTCTGCTGCCAAACACACACTTTGGTATGTCTACTGTTGTTCATGCTCTGCTTATTTTCTAGCAGTGAATGGCTAGAGGACCAGAAAGATGGCTCAGTGGGTAAATGTGCTTGCAAGCAAACCTGAAAACCCAAATTTAACCCCTAAGAACCAATAGGTATAAGGAAGAAGACTCCAGATATTTGCAGTGGTACACACACAAGTAAATCAATGTAATTTTAAAAGAAAAATTCTTCAAGAAAAAAAATTACTGAAAAAAAAACAAAAACAAAAAACAAAACAAAAAGCATTTCAAGTGGACAAATTACAAAGATCACGGCTGCTTTCCTTTTTATTCTGGTACAATCTACCTAATAAGCATGTGTTGTTGTTATGAAAAGCAGCATATACAGTCTCCTTCAGCTGATAAATTGTTGCTTGGGCAGATTCCCTCTGTCCTGACAACATTGCAAAGAACCCAATGTAAGGGCCCCTGGACCTCCTGGTGATCAACATATTCTTAGGCAGATGCTGTCCCTTCCTTCGTGGGTGTGTAGACTTCCTGATGGGAAACCCCGCCCACTCTGGCTTCTGCCCTGCTCACCCAGCTGGTAAGCATGAGAAGCAGTGCAGGGTTCTCAGGTCCCCAGTGGCAGCCTGTGTTTTAAGCTCTGGGTTGCTCACCTTACACAGCGCTCAGCAGTTCCTGCTTTGCCTGAGGGTGGAACTTTACAGTTTACCAGTGCCAGGCAAGAGCTCCTCCGAGAAGCCACATGCCCAGCCTCCACCAGTACTGGCTATTTTCATATTCGTCCCTATGACAGTGGTAGGACCTTCCATCTCAGAGTGCAATTCAAGGTTCGGAGACTCAGTGCCCTGCTCAGGGAAAAGGAGCTGAGGCCAGCAGAATCCATGTCTCCAAACTCCATATCCTGTGTTCCTCTACCAACTTCCTGCCTTCTGGCTTCACAGCAGTGGGCTGCCTTGGTGATCTTGGCATAGCACTCTCCAGGAACTGCCTTTTCTCTGGCTGCTATCTGATGGAATGTCCTATACAGTACAATGTTTCACTAAGGGCTTTTTCCTAAAGTTGGTCAATACCTTTTTTGGCCATGAACAACCTTGAACTTCTTCTCCACGTGCCTCTATCACCAGTACTGAGTACAGGAATACTGTGTAATCACGCCTGGTTATATGTGGTGCTAGGGATTGAACCCAAGGCTCCACTTCCTGCATGCTACACAAGCAGTCTACCAACTGAGCTTCAGCCCCAGCCCCTGGTAATTAGCTTCTGCCTCATCCTGCTCTTGCCTTCCGTCTAAAATCCAAGTAACCAGGGCTACGAGACCTAGTTGCTGTTCTTTACTTGTGTGTAGCCAGGGTTCCAAACACTTGTGAGAATCGTTCTCTGTCCAGGATGCGGCCATAGCGTAGGGTAAGGTAGAAGGTCTGCTTGCCATTATACTGCTGGATGCGCACAAACACATCCTGGACCCGGTCCTTAGATTCTGACAGGGGTATCATGTCGGACACGGCACAGTATGTGTCCCGTCGCCAGCCCCAGAAGCTCAGGTGGGCCACTCGAAGCAGGGTACCTGACTCATTCACATACAGGATGCCCACCAGCCTGCGAAAGAAGTAGCTCATCCAACACAGCATGCCCAGGGCGAAGCTGGTGATCCCACTCATGAGGCACAGTGAGTTGAGGGTCAGGAGGCCTTGTGAGTACAGGTAGAAGCCTGGAGGCAGGGCCACCACAGTCAGGCCTGTCTGTGCCAACTTCAGCTGAGATATGAAGCCAAGCACTCTGATGGCATTGAATCTGTAGATTGTGTGGAATTTCTCCATCTCTGGGCCTGGTGGCTTCTCCTGTGAGGTGGGAGAACTGCTCCCCACCCACCTTTTGGAAGTCTCCTGCCCAGTGCAGCACCATAGTCGGTGGAAAGGCCTCCCCCATGCAGCTGGACCCTGCCACCTTGGCACGACTCGAAGGAGGACAGCCTGGAAAAGAGGTTTCTTTCAGAATTCCACCATGCTAATCACACAATGAACAAGGCAAAGCATCCCCAGAAAGGCTTCAACCAAGCCTGGAAAGTCACCATGACCGCCAGAGTTAGTGATAAAGACAGACTGCCCTGTGTGTGTGTGTGTAATTCTACTCTGGTTAAGTACCATGCTCCCGTTTTTACAACTAAACAAACAAAAACTCTAATCCTAGCCAGTGAGATACCCCATCAAGTATAGGTGCCTGCCACCAAATCGGGTGTTATGAATTTGATCCCTGAGGCCAACATGGTAGAGGAAGAAAAATTACTCATGCAGGATGTCCTGGACCCCCTCTAAACGCCATAGCACATGAACTAGACACACACAGAATTTAAAAACAAAAAAACCAAACAAACAAACAAAAAAAAAACTAAGCCAAAAAAAAAAAAAAGTGCAAGGAAACACAACAGAATGAATGGACAGAGTCTGACTCTAAACCGGTCCTTTCCCCTAGGCAAATAAACATAGAAAAGCTGTAGTTCCAGCCATTCGACAGAGACTCGAACTTGGGTCCACAAGTCTATGGGACACTTCCCCCAAAAATACCAATCGGCGTCAGAAACTAACGCACCAAATCCATGGGGTACTTATCACAGTACTCTTGCAGTTCTCCGACTGCCTTATACGTTAGCTGCTTTCTATTAGCCTGGTCGGGAAAGGGGGAACAGCAGAGAAGTGAGGCACAGAGACCCTCAACACATTACACAATGGTTCTCTCGAGCAGCATAGTGAGCAAATTCTGGGCTTTATAGAGTTAGAGGGAGGCTCCGATCCTGGCTCCCAGAGACACTAGCTGTGCATCCTTCTTCACCTTTCAAAAGAAAGCCTCAGAATATGCTGAGGGAGACATGGTTCTGAAGCCTGAACTTGGTGTGCGCTCAGGGAGTTGCAGCTACTCAGACCGTTCACGTGACCCAAGGGAACCAGAGGAGGCAGAGAAACAGATAAGACAGCCCGGCTTTCCACCGGTGAAATCCAGAATCGGTGGCCAAAGGCTCCTTCCTGCCAGTCCTAGATCCGACCGGGTCCCTAAACGCGTTCCCTCCTTCACCGCCCACCACCTGACCTTCCTACCATTATCTTGTTGTCTGCTACAGGAAGTAAACGGACACTGTACCGGAAACTTGGAAAAGCGCATGCGCTAGCGGTCTTTTAAACGAAAAGAAGAACGCATGCGCAAACTGAAAAAAGAAGCCAATTATACTAGGCTTTGGGAATTGTGGTTCAAAGCCTGTATCTGCAGCGAGTGTTCTATGAGCCATCAGGAAATCTTCCCGTCGTGCCTTGGGGCTATGGCGCTTGAAGCGGACCCGGAAGTTCCGGTTGGAGTTCCGGGTGCCAGCAAGTCTTCTAACTGGAGATATGGCCACGCTCTGCCTCTTCGACGTGGATGGGACCCTGACTGCCCCGCGGCAGGTAGGCAGCGCCAGGGAGGCTCGCGGTCCTGGAGCGGAGCCCGTGCTGCTCCAGGCCGCGGTAACGACCGTCCAGTAATCAGGAGACGCGGGTCCTGAGCGCAGGAAGAGGGTCCAAAACCTTCCGAGCAGGAAACGTGTTCAGAGTCTGAATGTTCGGGTCTGAATCTCTTCTTGGACCCTGGGGACTGCTGACCTGGACTACATGTAACTCCATCTTAGTCTAAACTCTGACCAGCTGTGTCACATCCCCAGCCCTGTCACATTTGGCTGTGTCTTCTAGTATATCATAGGCAGGTTCTCAGCTGTCTGACCTTGAGCAAATCTTTCTCGGAGCCCCCGAAGCCACTTTAAACGGTCATTGCCTGTTGCAAGGGGTGTTGGTGAGGATCACAGAAATTCGTGACAGTGCTGTGCCCAGATCAAAGGTGAGCTGCTTCCACCAGCCGCTGCAGTAGTGGGGTCCCAGGTGGAAATAGGCTGTTTGCAAAAGAGCATCCAGGATCCAGTGGAACTTCTTCCGCTAACAGATATTGTTATGATGAGAGATACGTTTTTGTGGGTTCATTCTGGCGATGACAGTCTCTGCCTTCTTTGCACAAATTCGTAATTGAGCAGAAGTCGTTCAAGCTTGAGACTGGGCTCAAATAGCTTGGATGTCACTACCCTTGCCCCACCCCTTTTAGGTTTCGTGGAGTGTGTTCCAGACGCCCATGTTAATTGTGCGTAATCTTAGATATATCAGTGTTGTTTTTTCCTTTTTTCTTTGACGATTACGCGTGTACGGTGTATCTCAATCGTATTCACCTCCAACTCTCCTCTGCTCCCTATGTGGAACACCACGGTACATTCCTCTTCCATTTTCATGTCTTTTGTTGTTGTTGTTGTTTGTTTGTTTGTTTTGTTTTTCATATAGCCTTGGCTGTCCTGGACTCACTTTGTAGACCAGGCTGGCCTTGAACTCACAGAGATCTGCCTGCCTCTGCCTGGAAGAGTGCTAACATAGGCATGCGCCACCACACTCAGCTTTAAAATTCTATTTTAATAACCCACTAAGTCCAGTTAATACTACACACACACATACACACACACACACACACACACACACACACACACACACACACACACGAGGAGCCTTCCACCAAATGATAGACAGCCACCATCGGTGCTGGAGTGTTCACTGACTTGATCTTGTGCAGGTAACCACAGTTGCTGAATTCATGAGGGCAACAGCCACATAATGTCCAGAAGACAGCATCTCTCATCACTCCTCCACATTCTCTGGCTCTTATATTCTTTCTGCCCCCATCCCCACTCCCGGCCTTGGCAGGGTTGATAGGGCATTTATTCTTAACACTTTGACCAGGTATGAGTCCACATAAACCACCGCTTACCACACACACACACACACACACACACACACACACACACACACACACAAATGATGAATGAATGAATAGGTGGGTTCTTGCCAAGGTTGAGAGCAGCATTAATCTATAAAACATAAATATTTAGAAGGTAGTTTGACCAGTAGGTTTTCTTATTGGGCCTATGAGTTCCTGAGCCATAGGCTTTTGACCATGCTTACTGTACCAAGCATTAATTCCTTCCTGTGGAGTAGCCCTAATATCCAATCAGAAACCCGAATAACAATCATGCCATTGTTGGACAAGTGAGCCCATACTGCTTGACAAGTCAGTGCTGTTATGCAGGATTTGTAGCTGGGAAATGCTGTTAATGGCTTTTCTCCCCCCAGTGGCTCGCATAGCACCTTTTAGCACTATGAAAACTAAACATGTCAGTTCCAGCCTGATTTCTCTATGTCTTGCAACCAAAGTGTGTTTTGTCTTTTAGATGGACTTACTAGTTAGGACATCTAGTTAGGGTAGGCAACTGGGAGCAGTGGCAATAGGGGCTCTCTAGTCAATAATATTCCCCTCCTGGCACTGAGATGGCTTGGTTTGTATTGTTTTTAATAACCCGTGTCTTTTGAGAGAGAGAAGACAGTGTATATATGCATATACCTTAAACGTAGTAGGTTTTGCCAAAGCTTTTAAATACGTCCTTAGTTTTAGTTAAACCACAACCCAAACCCTTCTCCACCATATTCTACCTTTCTGAGCCAGAGTTTGATCCATCTAGGGATGACATTAAACCACAAGTTCTCTGGAGCCCTCTCTGACTCACCTTCATTGCTCAACACAGCAGGTGGCATAGGGTTTTAATCTCTGCAGGAGGACTTGAGAGCTCAGAGCTAGCCTTGGCTATGTAGTGAGTCTGAGGTAAACCTGGGAACTTGTCTCAAAACAAAAGCCAATAATCTAGAGCTTTGAGATCAGAATTCATATTTTGTAAGGGGCCATATGTTAAGTACTTTTGTCTTTGTAGAAGATATGGCCTGTGGTAACTACTCAACTTACTGCAAAAGTAACGATAAACCATATATAAAGAATGGCCGTATTTTAATAATTACAGAGGCCACTGAGATGGCTCAGTGAGTAGTCACCCCTAAGCCTTGGGACCTGAGTTCAATTCCTGGAGTCCACATGATGGAAGGAGAGAAGCAACTCTCACAAGTTGTCTTCTGGCCTTCCCTTCTACATTGTGGCACATGAGCATGCTTATACATAATAAAAATAAAGTTATAGAAACAAACTGCTGTTCAGTTTGGCCCAGGAGCCATAGTGGTTATGTTTGGTTGGTTTTGGTTTTTCCAGACAGGGTGTGTGTGTGTGTGTGTGTGTGTGTGTGTGTGTGTGTGTGTGTACACCCTTGGTTGTCCTGGAACTTGCTGTGTGGACTAGGTTGTCCTTGAACTCATAGAGATCTACCTGCCTCTGCTTCCCAAGTGCTGGGATTAAAGGTGTGCACCCTCACTACCATTCTAACATAAGGAAACTGAAATGAAATGAGTAAAGCCCTGACTGCCTCAGCTTTTTACAGCAGCTGTAGTTCAAAATCCTGGGCCTCATGGCACTGTTAGTTGTCCTGTTTGTCATTTCCTTTCACTCTGCCAGGATGGAGGCCATTCCAGGTACTAGATGAGCTACTGGGAAAATGCTTCTGTTTACCAAGCAAATGAGGATAGATGGGTGTTACGTATAAAACAGTAAAGAAGCCAGGTGACCCAGAATGTATATCCAGAACGTATTTCAGACGCTTGTAGTGATCATAAGCAATTATAACAATAAGAGAAAACTGTAATTTAAGAGAGAATTCCCCTATATATTGGGTACTGCAGTTAAAATATTTTGGCAACAGATGTATTCATCATCAGCCTTATCTGCCTCCATCTACATGCATTCTCAAACATTGCTAATCACAGTGCAATCTGGAAGAGGAAAGAACAAGTTATCTTTTATTGCAGTTGTTGTAACAGGATGTGACCTGCCTGAGTTCAGTCTGGTTAGCATGGACTCCAGAAGTTTATACATTTCCCTGTTTGTGTAGAAGTTTGTCCTCCTGGGTACTTTCTTCTCTAAACAGTAGGACTTGAGAAAAAGCTTTAGAAAAAAAACAAAAAACGTGAACCTCTATGAATCATTTTCCAACTTTGGCATCCTGAAAAATCTCTCATATCATTGACAAAAATAGTAAGCCCATATCCCCGTTACTTAGGTTAAAATAGCTGACATAACTTTGTGTTTTCTCTTGCTGAGTAACTTTCTATCTAAACCACAGTCATCAAGCTGCTTCATCCCTTTGTATTTCAGCATCCATTAAGGTAAAGAGTGTCATCCTTCATAATCATAATGTCATAATAAGATATTTAGTATTCTATTACCATAGCCCAGAAGTTGGCATTCTTTTCTGTAAAAGGTAGTTAGTTACAAACAAACACTCAAATACTCAGTTTATTTGTTGGTTGTGGAGATAGAACCCGGCACCTTGAAACAAGCTAGGTAAGCGTTCTTCCACTGAGCTATATCCCCAGACCCAGATAGTCAATATTTTGAGGTTTGTAGGCCACATCATCTCTGTCACAGCTACTTAACTCTCTTTCTCTCTCTCTCTCTCTCTCTCTCTCTCTCTCTCTCTCTCTCTCTCTGGGACAGAGCTGCCAGAACACCTCCATGGATGAACAGTGCTCAGCTACAGTAATACGGTCATTGATGTGATGGCACACAGGCCTGGGTTTGAAGCCTCCTGGAACCCACGGCCCAATTTCCTTAACCATTGCCACCTCTCAGATGCCTTCTGTAGTTTTTTTCTTTCAGCTGGGTTTCATTCTTTCCAGTGTTACCCTGTTTTATTTTGTTGGAGAGGTGATATGACCCTCAGCACAAGGGTTATTTTGTTTCACTTTTGAATCAGCTGGGGTTATGGACATGCATATAAGGTCTACTGAGTGAGTTCCAAGACAGGGAAGGGCACAAAGAAAAACCCTGTCTCAAACACAAACAAAAGAAAAAATTTGGGAAAAGTGAGTCTGGGGCTGTATCTCAGTGGTAGGGTGCTTGCCTGGAATATACAAGGCTTGCATTTAATACCCAGCACCAATAAAAACAAAACAAACAGTATAAAAAAGTGCATTCTAAGGCTCTGGTGTTAGAGTTACTATTGATACAATGAATACCATGACCAAAAAGTAAGTAGTGGGGGAAAGGGCTTATTTTGCTCACAGTTCCGAACATATCTCTGTTCATCATCAAAAGCAGTGAGGGCAGGAACTCAAACAGGGCAGTAACCTAGAGGCAGGAACTGATACAGAAGCTCTAGCGGGGTGCTGCTTACTGGCTTGCTGTACATGGCTTGCTCAGCCTGCTTTCTTATAGAACCTAGGACCACCAGTCCAGGTGTGATGCCATCCACAATGGGCTTCCCTTCCCCCATCAATCACTAAATAAAATGCTCTACAAGCTGGCCCACAGCCCCATCTTATGGAGGCATTTTCTCAGTCTTGGTTTCTTTCTCTAAGATGACTTGACTATGGAGTGTGTCTGGTTGACATAAATCTCGTCAACACATGCTTCTGTTTGATTGATTGATTGATTGTCTGTTAAAAGACAGTCTTAGGAAATCCAACTATATAGGCAAAGCTGGCCTTGAACTCCTGATCTTCCTGTCTCCATTTCCCAAGTGCTGGATTACAAGCTTGTGACAATGTACCCACTCTGACGTAGTGAATCAAATTCATTGAATACGAAACTCCTTCTTCAAAGATCATAAGACTGGCTAAGAGCACTGGCTGCACGTCCAGAGGACCCAGCATCCACAAAGTGGCTCACAACAGATGATCTCGTGCCCGCTTCTACCCCCAAGGCACTGCATGCATGTACTACACAGATATATATATTCAAACAAAAAAAATTTTTTTTTAAGCTAGATCTACATATTGTCATTAAAAGGTCAACACAACATAGAATACAAAAGGCAAGTCATTGCTCAGGACAGAGACTAACCCCATACCCATATATATCTGCTCATGTGTGAATAGACAAATAACAGATTCACAGATAAACTGGAACAAGTGAGCTGGTGCTGGAATACTTGTAGTACCAGATCTTGTAGGCTAAGGTGGGGGCATTCTTTAGCCAGGAGTTCAAGGTTTGCCTAGGCAGTAGGCTAGACTAACTATCCAAACTCAAACAGCCAAAATAAAAGAAAGTGGGGGGAAAACCCAAAAAGGTTAATATCCCCAAATAACAAATAAATATTTAAATTTTTCTACAGGCCTAGTAATAGCACTGGGCTTGTGTAAAATAGGAGCTGGATTAGTTTGCAGTTTTTATCTGATTGTGTGACTCAAAATCATCCTATTTTCCTTCCTGACATGTAGAAAATTACAAAAGAAATGGATGACTTTTTACAAAAATTGAGGCAGAAGACCAAAATTGGAGTGGTAGGTGGCTCGGACTTTGAGAAAGTACAAGAGCAACTGGGAAATGATGGTAAGTGCTAATTATCCTCTAGCCCAAAGCTAACTAATCATGAGAATACTGATGCCTGCCCACAAGCATCCCCTCAAATCCCAAGCCACCATCACTCGTGTAGCACACTTTTTGCCTTCTCTGGGAAGGCTTTTCCTCTGCCCTTATTTGGCCTTTGCTTTAATCCTATAGAAGTAAGTTCTGTGACCTGTGACAGAACCCCTTCACTCAGGTATACAGATAGACTCACCTTAAAGGAAGTGTGTGTCTATGTCTTTGCTTGTGGAACCTCTTCTCCCTCTAGTATTTGCATGTCACTGCCCTCTCAGTTCAGCCCAGCACATTTCTTGGCTGTCCTCTCCACTCAGATATGGAGATACCTCTGATCACAGAACATTTTTTCTATTGCTTTAACCCAGTGTGTTTGATGGTTCCCTAATCATGAGAGTCACTAGGCTCCCTATAGCACCAGGGTCTTCAGCACAGGCCTGGGAAGTTAGAGAACTTTTGTGATACAGTCTCACACTGTAGCCCAGGCTGGGCTCAAAGTCATTTTCTGTCTCTTCCTCACAGTACTGGAGTAACAGGCATCAGCCACTATACCTAGCTGGAGAGTCTTCTGTTTTAAACTCATGATATGATATGACAGAAAACACAGTTGTCCCAGAGTCATGTTAGCACTAAGGACATATCGGGCGGGACAGTTTATTGTAGGATGCCTGGTACCATCTCTGGCATCTCCTCGCTAGGTGCCAGTAGAGTGCATGCACACTCAGCCACAGTTTTAACAACCCAGGCTGTCTCTAGACATTGCCAGGTATGTCCAGGGATTGTGTTGCCATGGTTGGGAGCCCACTGCGTCTTATCTGAAAGTGCAGGTCTGTGGGTCAGAACAGATCACTATGGGAGGAGTCCATATGCACCTGCAGGACAAGCTCCACTTCAGCTTTCTCGGAGGTACTCTCTAGAAACACTAACAGCAGCGTTGCGAGGCGTATTCAGTCCAGGAAATCCTGTCACGGGGGTGATTGCCATTCCTGCCTCCAGTGTTGTACTTACCAACCTCTGAGAGGTTTTGCATCACTGTGGCAAAGCTGTGTCTTTCAGTGAAGATGTAACAAGAGTCAAAACACTCACATACTAGAAGCCAGCTCAGAACACACTTTGCATTGGCATCAGCAGGTGTCGTGGACATACCTGTAATCTTAGCACTCCAAAAAACTGCTGTGAGCTTGAGATCATGCTGGACTATATAATGAGCTCAAGGCTAGCCTAGGCTTCATGAGGGCCTATTTGAAAAACAGGCAAGCATAGTAGCATGTTTAAAACAGCTTTCTAAATTTTTATTTTTATAAAGCGGTTATTTTGGGGTTGGGCAGATTGCTCAGTGGGTAAAGGCACCTGACAACCTAAGTTCAGTACTCAGAACCCGTGTAGAAGGAGAGAGTCAACCACCACAAGCTGTCTTCTGACCTACCCCATACACCATGGTGTCAACATGCCAAATGCACACATACACACAAAATAATATACTTGATTGGTTGTTTGGTTTGGGTATTTGTTTGTTTTTCAGACAGGATTTCTCTCTGTAGTCCTGGCTATCCTGAAACTAACTCTATAGACCAGACTGGCCTTGAACTCAGAAATCTGTGTGCCTCTGCCTCCTAAGTACTGGGATTAAAGGTGTATGCCACCACAGCCTAGCATGTAATGTTTTTGTTTTGTTTTAAATTTGAGCCTGGAAATTCTGAGAACAGAATGTGGCCATCTTTTCACTTGTTTCCTGGTACTGCTAGTTCATGGCAGTTGGGAGCAGAAATGGGCTGGCATCTTTACACACTGGCAGGCTGCAGGCAGGGTCTGTCTGTAGTTCATTTATCATCCCTCAGACATACAGTCAAAATTGCTGTTGTAGTCCTCACACTCTTGATGAGAAGGGCTGGCACAGCCCACTGGTGCTTAGCTGGGTCCTTGGTGGTGGATGTTGACGAAGAAAGAAAAAGGCAGGTTTCTATTCAATGCATCCTCAGTTTTATCTTGTTTTGGTTGTAGTGGTTGAGAAATACGATTATGTGTTTCCAGAGAATGGCTTGGTAGCGTACAAAGATGGGAAGCTTTTGTGTAAACAGGTAAGTTTTTAAGTATGCAGCCCGTCTGGATCACTACTAATATGTCGTGTGTAAGGCAGCACTGCTGGGACAGTCAGTCATCCTAGCTTGAACTCAACAGAGTGAGTTCAAGACCAACCTGGGCAGCCTAAGAAAAGGAGCAAGAACAACACATTTTGTGTGCTAACGATTGAGTGCCTCCGGGCACATGCTGGGAGCTCAGGGTGGGAGGAGTAAGTCTTCACAGTGTATTCCTGGTTAAGTTTAAATTTTGCTCTATACAGCTGTTGCTTGTTCCAGATAGTGACTACATTTTTATTATGGCCTATTAAAGCTGCTTGAGTCCAGTGTTTCCATTACAATAGCCAAAGCTAGAGCGGGGCACTCACCCAGGGACTGTGAAAGAAGCTGTACTTAATACTTAAGAGCATCTGCAGTAAGCTCTCTGGCCTTTCCTGGAAGTGTGTGAAAGAAAAGGATCACAAATCCCTGACTCATGAAGCAGAAGATGCTTTTGACTGAGGTGGCTGTGTTTTGCCTAATGTTTTCCACTAGCAGAAAAGAGAAAGAGGTAAAAGGGCAACAGGATGTGTCAGTGCCCCTGCCGGGTCAGCCTGTGGTTTCCAGCAGTGTTAGCAAGATATTTGGGTTTGCCCATGAAGCCATTTTGACAGTACTTTTTATTATATCAAATAACTCCTGCTTTGTTTGCCTAGAGTATTCAAGATCATCTGGGGGAGGTTGTGATCCAAGACCTGATCAACTACTGTCTGAGCTACATTGCAAAAATTAAACTCCCTAAGAAAAGGTGGGTTCACTCTTAACAAAGGATCTTGTAGAATATGGAGCAGTGGGCTCATTGGGTGGATTAGATCTCACAGCTAAAACCCAACACTTACTAGAACTACTTGGATATAGTCTATATAGCTAAACCACCATGAAGATGGTTGTAAAAAAGATGGCTGCCCATGTGATGGTGTGCTGTACAGACACCTGTGAAATAGCATGCAAAGAGCACAGAGCCTGACCTGGTGACACCTGCTAGAGAGGCTGAGGGAGGAGGATCACAAGGCCAGACAGGGCTCTCTGAGAGGGAGGAGAGAAAGAGAGAAAGAAGAGGCCAGAACTTGGAGGGCAGAGGCAGGTGGATCTCTGTGAGTTGGAAGCCAGAATAGTCTACATAGTGAGTTCCAGGTCCCAGTGAGAGCTAGAACTACACAGTGAGGCTCTGTCTTGAACAAAAAATTGGGGGAGGGGGAAATGAGTCATACCTGTCAGCCAATATGCAGGATGCCAAGGCAGGAGGAGTGCTGTGAATTTTGGGCTTCATAGTTAGTTCCTGGTCCAGCTGGGCTACAGAGTGAGGCCTTATCTCAACAAAAGAAGGATCCAGGGAATTGCTATACCCAAAATGCCTGTTGTACCAGCATGAGAGCTGATGCTCAGATTCCCCAGCACCCACATAAAAACTGAGTATGGTCATGTCATCTGGAACTAGCCATGAAGAAGTAGAGACAGTGTCCTGAGAGTCGAGTAAGGTCTGGCTTCAAGAAAAGACTGTGTCTTGGAAGGAAAAGTGGAGAGTGGTAGTGAAAATGCTAGCCATACACACATGCACACAAATATTACATACACACATAAAACGCACATGTACACTCATACATTATACACACATACATATACACATAATTTTTAAAAAGCGTCAGAAGCCCACAATCTGAAAGTCTAAGGCTAGATGTCATACAAAACCGAATGTATTTAGTGTGCAGTCATTAAAGAAAATCCACACTGTAGGGCTGCAGGGTTGGAGCAGTGAAGAAGAGCATGTGCTGTGACAGCATAAAAAGCTGAGTTCATATTCCCAGACTTCACATACGTTAGTTTTGGTCACATGTACACCTATAGTCTAAGCACTGTGGAGGACAGAGATGGGGGACCACTAGGACTTGCTGGCCTGCCACCTTTCCAGGTTCAAGGAGAGACGAGAGACGCTGTCTCAAGGAACTAAAGCAGAGAGGATATAGCAGGACACACACATATGCCTATCCTATCTGCCCCTCACAAAATAAATTTTTTAATATGTATTTTGAGTCTAAAACTACAGACATGATTTTTTTTTTTTTAAGTTTCTAGCCATTTTCCCTGGAATAGCTGAAACAGTGTTGGTGTGCTCCATTTTCTGTGATCACATCAAGCCTGAATGAGCAGTCTGCCTCTGAATAAATCAGGTTTCCTGAGTCATTAGTGAGGCTCCCTGGACCATAGTCTTAGAACTGTGTGTCCTCCCTTAATGACATCAGTCTGTTCAAGAGCTCAGTAGCACAATAGTTGCCCCGGAAACAGATAAGAGACTCCTGAGGGAGCAAGTGCCCTTGTACTGGGATCCCTTTTCAGCCCTTTATTACTGTGAGCTGCTCCTAAAGCAGTTCAGCAGAAATAGTGAACCAAGGGATGATGTTTTGGTAACACACCCTGTTTTCCCCACTACTCCAAAACATCATTTTAGCAAGTAGTCAGTGTAAAATATTATGACTAATGAGACATGGTACCTCAAGCCTATAACCCCAGCACTTGGGAGGTAGAGACAGGAGGAGCAGGAGTTCCTGGTCATCCATCATTAGCTGCATGGCGAGTTCAAGGACAGCCTGAGTTACAAAGACCCTATCTCAAAAAAATGGGGTGTGGGATATTCCTCCTTGTGGTCCTTCTCACTCTTGGAAGTTCATTTCTTTATTACATCTCTGTTCACTTAACTCAAAAAAGAAATAGGGCTGGTTTGAATTTCTAATGTTGTGAAGAGACACCATGACCATGGCAACTCTTATAAAGGAAAACATTTAATTGGTTCAGATGTTTAGTCCATTATTATCTTGGTGCTGGAGAAATGGCTGAGAGTTCTACGTCTGGATCTGAAGGCAACAGGGAGAGAGAGAGACACTGGCTGTGGCTTGAGCTGAAACCTTAAAGCCCACCTCCTAGTGATACACAAGCCACACCTTAAATAATGCCACTCCCTGGTGACTAAGTATTCAAACACATGAGTCTTGTGGGGCCATTCCTATTCCACACAGCTGGGGAGATAGTTCAGTCAGCAAAATGCTTTCTTAGCAAGACTGAGGACCTAGCACCCTCAAAAAGGCTGCGTCTGTAGTGCATGCTTATAGTCCCCATGCTGAGGAGGCAGAAAATGGGTGCATCTCCCCCATTTGCTGATCAAGTGCTGTAGCTGAATTTGTTAGCTCCATATTCCGTGAAAGACCCCGTCTCAAACAACAAGGTGGAAAGCCATCCAGGAAGACGCCCACTGTGGACCTCTGGCTTCTCCATGTACATTCACACAGGTTTACATGCGTATAGACATATACACACAAAAAATCTGAATGAGCTCTCGGCGCTCCCCGCTTAGGCTGTGGGGGGTGTGAACCCAAGCTGCAGCTGGTAATGATTTATAATAAAAAGAACCTCATGTAAAAAAAAAAAAAAAATCTGAATGATTACTCTGTTCCTTTTCCATGCTAAGAATCTATCCAGCTCAATCTGGATTAGCCACATTTCAAGTCTATAGTACTATGTGGCTCAAAGCTTCTATGGTACACAGCCTACAAGAAACCTGGTCACATACACCTGCTGTCTAGAATGTAATGTTGCCCAAGGAAATGAGGTATTTTATATTTTGAGGCACCCTTGTCCTCTTTCTCCTCCCCAGGGGAACTTTTATCGAATTCCGAAATGGCATGTTGAACGTGTCCCCTATTGGAAGGAGCTGCAGCCAAGAAGAACGAATTGAGTTCTACGAACTCGATAAAGTAAGTTCTTAGATGTATGTAGGGACATGGCCAGTGTGAGAAAAGCAGCCAAAATGTATAGGCCAGTATTTTAAGTGCTTCTATACTGCAATACAATGGACAACTGGTATATTTTTGTTTCTCTCAGAAAGAACATATACGACAAAAATTTGTAGCAGACCTGAGGAAGGAATTTGCAGGAAAAGGCCTCACATTCTCCATAGGTATGGTGCATGCCTAGGCTTTGATCCCTATACTCCTGGAGCATGTGGTGGGCTGCTGAGATGCTTAGGGCTATGGTGGGCAGGGTGGGTTGTAACTGAGGTTACCTTACGGGGTTCTTTGTCTCACTAATAAAAACTTGGAAACAGACTCAGAAGAAGTCATGAGGACAATTTTTAGTTTAAGAGAAAAACAGTACAGGTTAGGTGAAAATCTCAGAGGCTACCAGGAGGAGAGATGGGGAAAATCGTGCTTTCAGAGTTAGATGTGGAGTAGAAATAGACATGTTACTAAGAAAGGGAAAAGCACCCCCAAGGATGGAAGTGGCTGGTGAGCTGAGGAGTCCCCAGAGCATCCAGCCAGGCGGTGTGTGGTCCTGTATAGTCCCTCCCTCTTTGTGTTGTGGGTGGTCTTTGTTTTGATTGTTCTTTGTTCGCATGGTGATGCCAGGTTAAGGAAGAGCGATTCGTCTTCCTCTGCAAACTGGCTTCTTTCACTTGATAATCTCTCTTTAAAGACTTCGTTTATTTTATATATATGAGTGTTTTGCCTGAATGGATGTGTGAGCACCATGTGTATGCCCAGTGTCCAAGGAGGTCAGAAGAGGATGTGGGATGCCCTAGAACTGGAGCTACAGACCTGAACCTTGTCTTCTGCAAGTGCTTTTAATCCCTGAGCCATCTCTCTAGCCCCAGTTTATTAATCTTGATGTAGATTTTTTTTTTTTTTTTACTTTCTACTCTTGTACCACAGTTACGCAAGCAGCTACAGCAGGACACCCCCCCTACCAGGAAGTGGTTTCCATGCTTTAGGGTCTGGTTCTGCATCTGTATCCTGCAGGACTTTCCCTGCTTGCTCTTTTTTCTTGCACAGAAGAGCTGTGTCTTGGCATGTGAACAGTAAAAGCTTCAGACCTTTAGGTGGACGTTCTAAAGCCTTGCTGAACTGCAGAGGAGAGGTAGACTGAGCCTCTCAGATAAAGGAGACTAAGATGTCTTGACATCCTGAAGTGTGCCGTGATCAAGAAACCACAGAAGTTAGTGGATGGCTTTGACAGAGCAAGAATCAGGCTCAGAAAGGAACACACAGTTGTCCAGGCTCATAGAGCCTGTGTTGACTGCCATTGGGCCACTGCTGTCTCTGGTGCAGAGTTCTGCCTGAAGCCTGGCCCCTGCCTCATCACTCGGTAGCATAGGCCTATTAAATTTTATTACTATATTTTTTTTTTGTTGGGGGCGGGGTGGGCCGGGATAGAGAAGCAAGCCACACATGTGTGGAGGTCAGAGGACAGCTTGGAGGAGTCAGTTTTCTCCTTCCATCACATGGGTCCCAGGGGATTGAGTTCAGGTTGTCAATCTTGGCAGCAGTCACCTTTACCCACTGAGCCATCTGGTACATCCTTAACCGTTAAATGCTTCAAACATGTTCATTTCTGCTGGCAACTCTATCAGTCTTGCCTGAAAACCCTTTGGCTTTGCTAGCTTTAACATGTGTGTAGGTTGTAGGAAAACTGGCCTTGCAAAGGAACCATGTGTCACACACAACCAGGGGGATTTTCAACTATTCCTGAACTGTGAGCAAATGCTTTTCTGATAGCTTTGAAAATGTTTTTTTGAGCCCAGCACTCAGGGACACAGAGGCAAACAGATCTCTGTGAGTTCAAGGCCAGCCTGGTCTACAATGCAAGTCCAGGACAGCCAAGGCTACACAGAGAAATCCTGTCTCGAAAAAAAAAAAAAAAAAAAACAGAGAGAGAAAGGAAAAGGAAGGAAGGAGAAGAAACAAGAGAAAAGACAAGAAAGAAAATGTTTAGGGGGTTTTGTTTGTTTGATTGTTTTGTTTTGTTTTTTTTTTTTCCTGCTTTAAAAAGTTCATGCATATCAGCTAAAATGCTTGCTCAGCAGTTACAAGTACTGGCTACTCATTCAGAGGACCTGTGTTCGATTCCCAGCATCAATATGACAGCTCACAGTCATCTATAGCCGTAGCACCCAGGGTTTCCAATGAAGCTTCCTCAGGCACCGGGCATTCATGTGATACACAGATATAGCATGCAGACAAAATAATCATACACACGAGTAAGGAAGGAAAGAAGAAAGGAGGGTGGGAGGGAGGGAGGGAAAGGAAAGGATAGAAAGAAGGAAAATTTTAGGGGACACCCTTCCTATAAAATGTCTTCCATGTGACAGACCTATTGCCTATAGGAAGGGCCCAGACATTTTGTTTTTGGCTTTTCCACTGATGGTGGTTTGGTTTAGCTAGGTTTTTGGTTGTTATGTTTTTCAAGACAGGGTTTCTCTGTGTAGCCTTGACTGTTCTGGACTTGGCTTTGTAGATTAGGCTAGCCTTGATCTCACAAAAATCCTCCTGCCTCTGCCTCCCTGAGTGCTGGAATTAACAGGCATGCACCACCAAGCCCAGCTAGGTTCTGTTGTTGTTTTTTTTTTTTTTAAGGTTTTCACGCTGTAGTCCAGGTTTGCCTGGAATTCACATGAACTTCAGGCTGACCTTAAACTCATCATAGTCCCCTTTCTCAGCTTCGTCAATGCTGTGATGACAGGTATGAACTGACCCAGAATTTGTTAAAGTGCCAGACAGGCTCAGGGAAGCCTTGACTAGGTTTTTACATAAGCCTGCTTCACTTAAACTTGTAAGCCTCTTTTTTGAAAAGCATTAAGAGAGGTGGTTGCTTTTAGGCCCAGATGATAATACGAGGAAAACCAGCAAAGAACCTGTCCACAAAGGAGCATTAAGTGGTGAACAAGGATATTAAAAAAAATTTTTTTTTAAATAAGTGCATTATTTTCCAAAAGATGTTAGCTCCCTCCTCACCTGGGACTGTCCTGGGGTGATACACAAGAGCCCCAGGCATGCTAGGCAAGCCCTCTCCCACTGAGCCACATCCCAGCCTTCCTTAGCTGTGTTCCCTTTCCATCCTGCAGGTGGCCAGATCAGCTTTGATGTCTTTCCTGATGGATGGGACAAGAGGTATTGCCTGAGGCACTTAGAACATGATGGTTACAGGACCATTCATTTCTTTGGAGACAAGACTATGCCAGTAAGTCGGAAAGTCTCCTGTGCAATTTGTACAGTTTGGACTTGGAGGGGGAAGTTTATTTACAGTGGGCTGTTTTGCCATCTTACATCTTAGCTGATGGCCCTTTTGGCCTCCCTCTCCTCAGAGCTTTAAGACCCTGCCCAATGGAAGCAAGGACTATAGATCATTTTCAGTGTGCCTTTTGAATTAACTACCTTCACCACTATTGCTTTATTATCCTGCTCTACTATGTTCATTGTAAATTACACACTAGGGTCACAAACAAGAGACGATGGGGGATTTCCTGAGTCTGATACTCAAAGCTGCTCAGGCATAATTGGTGTGGGGATCTGCCCCAGGTGTCAGGCAGGGAGTACTGTGGGCTGTCAGTGAGAGCCCTGCAGAAAGCCCAGGTTCAGTGGAGATGGCATCAGAGCTGGAGCCTGAGAGAGTTCTGAAAAGGCAAAATGTACAGCAGTCACTGGTAGAGGGAGAAGAGGGGAACAGGGGACTGCCTCCAAGATGGGATTCTTTTAAAAAGTTTTCTCCAGGTCACCCAGATCACAGTCCTATGCCTCCAGAGACCCCTCCAGCCATTTGTACACCTTTGAACTGCTTCCATAATAGTCTGTTGATAACTAAATGTTAAATATTCAGTGGAGAAAACAGAAGGATCTGGTTTTCAAGTGCCTGATGGATCCAGCCCCTAAACTGGATGCTCAGTGGACTTGCTCTCTGTAGCTTAACCCCCCACACCTATCCTCCTTCATGTAGCCTGCAAAGGCCCCTGCCATTCAGTGGTGCAGCATTCATCCTCCTGAATTCTGAGGACCATTTACCTTGAAAATCAGCTCAGGTGGTCAAGGGGTGGTGAACATAAACCACCCAGACTAGAATGGCCCCATCACTTGCCACAGCAGCGAGACACAAAAGCTTGTCTCTGAGAACCCCAACTAGGGATGCAGCAAGGCCCTGGGAGATCTCAGCCTGGCTACTGGGGGATTCAGGGATTACTTTTGGTTTGTTGTTGCTTTTTGTTTTTTCCTTTTATGTGTATGAGTGTTTTGCCTCATGTTGAATCTGCGCACAAGTAGCCTGTCTGTTGCCTGTGGAGGTCCTAAAAGGGTGTCAGATCCCCTGAATGTGGGGTCACAGGTAGGGCACCACCCCCATGAGCCACCATGTGGATGCTGGGAGTCAAGCCTGAGTCCCTGAGAAGAGGGAGTGATCTTAACTGCTAAGCCACCTCCAGCCCCAAGGAGTGCATGTTTTCTGTATAGCCTGCCCACAGCCAGCTCAGCTTCTAGCTTTGTAAGCACATCCCTGAAAGGTTCAGCCGGTACTGAGACTGGAGGTCAGGGACCTGCTAGAAAACTCTAGAGAGCAGTTACCTAGCTACTGGCACCTTCCTAACACTGAAATCCCATCCTACTGTCCTCAGCCTAGCTGTGAGAGTTTGCCTTTGCCATTCTGCACTAAGTCATGCTCTCGGGGCCAATGATAGCATATGACGTGTTCTCCCCACCCAGTTCTCGCGATAAGAGCACGCTCTCCATAGTCTGCTTCCTGAACTAACAGGATGGTGAACCAGATTAGACATCCTCAGACTAGCCTCTGATGTTCTTTGGGTCCCTGCCTGCCTGCCTGCCTTCTGAACACCAGAGTGCATGGTCTACTGCTCCTGAGACTGGTTCTTGGAGCATGGACGTCCCATACCACTGTCTGTCCCTCAGTTCTGTGTCAGAAGGCACGGGCTTTGCCCTCGGCTATGCGGCCGACTTCCTGGGGCCACAGAATGTGTCTTCTCCACAGGCTAGAGAAGTAGAACGGTTGTCCAGCTTCAGGCTGTGCACAGATCTGCTCTTCACTCCAGGGCCTGCAGCCCAGCCAGTGTTATACACTACACACTTGTTCTAGATTGGGAGGACTGGGATAGCTCGCCTTCTACATTCAAAACCTCAGGACCCCAGGCCTGGCCCTTGCCTGCAGCAGGAGGTTTTTGTTTGTTTTGATATTTCTTTGTGGGGGCTTTCTCTGTGTGGCCCTGGCTGCCCTGGAACTCGATCTGTAGACCAGATTGACCTCGAACTCGGAGATCTGCCTGCTTCTGCCTCTTGAGTGCTGGGACTAAAGGCATGTACCCCACCACCACACCACCCAGTGGGCTGGTGTTTCCTTGTTGTTGTTGTTGTTGAATTGTCAGCTCCCCTGACCTCCAGGAAGTGCTTCCCCATTGGAGAGCAGCCCCTCTCACCTCTACCTGCCTCTCTGAAAAGCAGGGTAGTAAGATTTATTACAGTCAATGCACTGAGAGTGTCGGCTAACAAACGTATACAGAGAGTCACTCTGTGCTGCGGGTGGCTGTCCTACAGGTACACACTGGGCTGTGGACAGTACTGGCACTGTACCCACCTTGTTCCTACAAGGCAGAGTAACCAGTGCTCATCAGTCCCAGCCTCCGTTTCCAGCCTCAGACATCGGGCCTTTTCAGGATTTAAATATTAATAGGCTAACTTCCAGAAGCCTTGAGAGAATAGGATGGCCCATTTCCAGGCACAGCCTTCCCTCTCTTCTCTGGGAATAGTTTTTGTTCTGTAAGCTTGGGATAGCTGAGCTTTTCCTAGCAGATCAAGAACATATGCATGTCTAGCCTGTGAACTCTCCAGTTCCCAGAGTGAGTAGCCTCTGCCACTACCTCAGGTCTGGTTTTGCTTCTGATGACCTCTGACCCACTGTTCCATGGCTCTGGACAGCCTGGGTATTGGTTTTGAGAACACCAGGCTGGCCTCAAGTTCATGAAGGTCTACCTGCCTCTGCCTCCCAAGTGCTGGGATTAAAGGCAGCCCGATTTTGATTTTCCGCACCTAGCATTCTGAAGTGTCGAGTTCCTCAAACAAACCTCACCTCCATAGTGCACAGGTGCCACTCCCTGACGCAAAGGACGACCATGGAGACTGCTGTGTGGACAGTGGCAGATACAGGAGCTGGCGTAGGACCAGTATAAAGCTCTTGCTTCTGGAATTTCTCTTCTAAGGTAGTGGCTTCTGTCAGGACCCTCTTAATTGTTTTCTCTGCCCCTGCCCCACCCCTATCTATTTGTACCAGTGTTCTATTTGTACCAGTGTTCTGGCAAAAGGCCAGGCTCTGTGACCACAGGTCCACCTCTAGGGAACTGAGAGGAGCGTAAAAGACGGATGGAGGAGAGGATGAGGTCTGCAGATGGAAGGAAGGTGTGATCCAGCCTCTGTTCGAAGTCTGCAAGATAGGACAAACTGGTTCTCAGGAAAGGAGTTCCAGGCACATCCTCACACCATGGAAATCACCCTACTCTGGGGTGGTTCACCAGAATATTTGCTGTTCTGGGAATCCAAGGTGCCTGCAAGTTTAGGGCAGTGGCTCTTACTTGATGGCTCCAGTTTTGAAAGGGGTGAGATGGATTTGGTGATTGACATTCACTTACAGTTAGGGCTGAGGCAGGATATGAAGGCTTCATCCTGCTTTCAGTCCCCATGTGGTTTGAAGTAGATGCTTTATAGCGAAAGCTGCTTCCAAGTGCCTGTGGTGCATTCTGTGTGGAGCTCCTGCCCTTAGATGAGTTCCAACATATTTGTGATATCCTCTGAAATCCCATGCTGACACAACCTGCTGCTGGGATCACTGACTGCTGTTTACTGTGGTCCCACCCTGTCTTCTTTCTTCCCATCTGCTCTGATAACAGCCAGCTCTGGGGCCATTTAAATTCATTATAATTCTAGCAATGGAGAGGCAGAGACAAGTTGTAGAAAGAATCTCTTGTGTACAGTATGGGAGCATCACCTGTCAATAAAAAGCTGATGGCAGGAAATAAAAGGTGGGAATTCTGGTGCAGAGATGAACTGTGGGATAGATAGAGGTGGGAGATTTGCCGTGACTCTGAGGAAAATAGATACGTGAAACTGAGGAGAGGTAACCAGCCATATGACATGCATAGAATAGAACAAACAAGTGAAATAAGTTACTAGCTAGTTGGAAAATGAGCCTAAGCTTGTGGCCTAGGCATTTATTCCTAAATAGTAAAGTCTCAAAGTTGTTATTTTGGCAACTGGGGCGTGGATGGAAAACCCAGTTACAACAAGTAGATCTTGGGACTCCCTGGCCAGTTCCTCTGGCTGAATCAGGTTCAGTGAAAGACCCTGTCTTGATAAATAAGATGGAAACCAACTGAGAAAGACACCCAGTCAGCCCTATACATGCATGCATGCACATAGGAACATATACACATACATACAGCACACAATCGAGTAAACTCAATTCCATTCTCCTTCTCTTACTGGCCACACTTCAAGTGCCCAGTTACCCTGTGTGACCAGCAGCTGTGCACAGACTGACCAGCCATGTTCATTGTCTACTCAAGGCTGCCTGCTCCACCAACTTGTGACATGCAGGAGATATTTGGGCACAAAAGACAGATTGATAGCTGTGAGATTGACTGTGCTTTTTCATTAGGAAAATAAGCCTTAGGAAAATCTTCACAAAGGCTTCCTGATGACTTTCATGGGCTTAATTACCTTTTCTTAGCTCGATAGAGGTTCACAGAAAGGTTAAACTTGCTCAGTGACTAAAATACCATTCCTTTCAGAAACTCGGGAAAAATTAGCTTAAGAAAGCTCCCTAAGCTAGGAACATCAGGGTTGCAGCAGCCATGGACCAAGACAAAGTGTAGCCTACTGCTTCTGTTTTGTTTCTTTGCAGGGTGGCAATGACCATGAGATCTTCACAGACCCCAGAACTGTGGGCTACACAGTGACAGCACCTGAGGACACACGCAGGATCTGTGAGAAGCTCTTCCCTTAACACCAAAGAAATGTGATCCTGGCCAACAAGACTGAAAGGTCACTCAGGGCCAGGGGTCACTTAGGGCCAGAGCTGGAGTCCCTCCTCACATGCACATGGGCCTCAGCCCCAGCCTCCAACCTGCAGCCAGGCTGTTCTCATGGGTCCAATGACACAGGGGCTAGAGGTTAGCTCATTGGGCATTTCAATAGGCCACACCTCTTACCTCCATCTAGTACCAGCAGCCCCAAGGGAAAGAACTTAAAAAATGGCTATGGTTGGGTGTGGTGGCTCATGCCTGTAATCTGTGTTTAGGAAGCTCGGGCAGGAGCATTGCCATAAGCTGGAAGCCAGCCTGAGGTACAAAATGAGACCCTGTCTCAAACAAACAAACAAGACTGTTGGCTCTGGGTTTGGGGGGAATAGCCCATAGAACACATGGATGAAGCCCTGGCATGGAGCCCAGCCTACGATTTAGGTCTTATAGCCCCTTCTCCCAGCCTATGGTCTAGGAGCTGGCTGACAGGATACATGGCTGGTCTCTGAAATTTCCCCATCATACGATGATACAGGAAAAAAACAAAGACCGTATCTGGGACCCTTATCCTTTGTGAAGCTGTGGGTTTGGGGTATTCTGGTGGTGGTGGTGGTGGTGGTGGTAGTGGTTTTGGGAAGGTTCTGTTTTGAAATATGGTCTCAGTATGTAGCCCTGGCCACCCCAGAAACTGCTATGTAGACCGGGGGACCTTAAGCCTGGGGTCTTCCTGCTTCTGCTTTTCGAATACAGTTCCATGTACCAGCACACTGTCTGAGGTTTTATGAAAACCTGCAGCTGTCAGTGTGTAGGTCTATACTTTACCACCAAACAGGGATCTGAGGACGAAGACTGTCACCAGTAGGAAGGAAGGAGAGGGGACCCAGCAAAGCAAAGCCTTGTCTGTAGTCCTCCATAACCCCACACTGGCCAATCCAGGTAACAGACCCAGTTCCTGAGACATCAGTGACAGCCTCATGGCCACAGCAACAGCTCTCTCTCCTTGGCAAGTGCACAGACCTCCAGAACCTCAAGGAGAGCCTTCCAAGAACTTTTTCCAGGCAGCTTCCTGTGCCTAGTAAACAACGGTTCTGCAGCCCAGCTCCTGTCGGGAGCCCCTTCTACCCTTCCCTGCCTCCAGCCACCATGTGTTCCCACTACCCTGCTCTTGGCTGCCTACACTGACACCTGCCACTGACCCCTTCACCTCTGTCCACCCCCAAAGAGAATGTCACGACCTCTACTCTGTGGCTTCCTTGGATTTTATGGCAGTGCTATGAAACATTAAAGGGACTGCATCCTTGCTCATGTCTTCGTTCTGATCACTTTAACTGTCAACGTCAAATGGGTGTCTACTCTGGTTCTACAGAACCCCACCTTGGGTTCTGAGAGCCTCTTCCTCCTCTGCTCTAGTGATGCTGGAGCCCCTCACTGTCCTGGCTGCAGTAGTTCCCAGCCACCCAGAGGCTGTGCTGCCCTCAGGTGGACTCCAGGCTTGCCAGCTCCTACAGTGGCTGTCACAAACCCCACCTCTGTCCCCACCCTCTTCATTCAACTCTCACCTAACAAAGGGCCTCTGCCCTCCAGGTAGTGCATGATAGTTCAGTGACACTAGCTAAGTCACACTGCTGATGGGGCAGGGCCTGCAGTGTGATGAGTGGCCCAGGTCCAAGGACTAGTTCTGGTAGACAGATGTGGCTCCAGGCAAGCTCTGGCCTATCAAGTAAAGATTGCAAAGGACTTTCGGAAAGCAGAAAGTTGGATAAAGACCGAACCACAAGAGGCTGCACCCAAGCATCCTAGGGCTGCTCAGAAAGTGTCACTCCTGCACTAGCTGCCAGTTCAGAATTTTAAGGTCACCAACTTTTAGGGAGCCCCGAGAAAGCCTAAGCTAACCAGAAGTCTAATGAAATGCTTGGTTCCCATGTAAAGGCTCTGGGTGACTCTAGGTGTCCCCAACCATGTCTGGGTAAGATGACAGAGGTACTGAGGAGCAAATTCAAATGTGTTTGTTTTTAGGCACAGTCTAGGCATGTGTAGCACTGAATCACTTCCTCTTCCTCACCCCAGGCTGGGCACACCTACCACCTCCACAGCACACCACTCAACTTGGAGAAACCCAGGGCTGGTTTACTGTAGTCATCTCATCTTGTGTGGCCTCTCCTTGAACAGGCCTGGTGAGCTGGTTATTTCTGCATCCACTGGGAGAATCACTGATTCATCAATATTCCCCTCTTTGCTCCACTGTCAGTTCCCATATCTTGGTAAAACCACCTCACCCTGGGCTGTCATTACCCTATCAGCAACCTTCTACTACTCCCCTCTAAGGCAGCTGGCCTCACTGTTGCCCTCCTGAGTCACTGAGCCTATATCTAGAGCAGCTCATCTCCAACATGGTTCCTGGGAAGCCTTAAGGCCCTCTTCTCTCACATTTACACAACATCCCAAAGGCCACCACAGTGCGTTTATCTACAACCCCCCACATTAACACGCCCCATTCCAGAGAGCTCAGCTTTCTTTTGTTGGATAGAGGAACTTCCTCATCAGTCAGAACTGCTCTGCAAGAATGTCTGCCATGTGCTTGGGAGGCACCCTGACCTCCCGGAAGAACCCCTTCCACATTCACTCAGGTACATGTGTGCACACATAACCTTTACATTCACTTCATCTTGTTGCACAAAACAAACTTTATTGAGCAAAAGTTGGCTGATGGGGTCAAACGTTCAGATTTGGGAGTCTGTATTCTCCCTCCTGTTCAGTCACCAGCACTGAGTCCCTCCTGATCTATAAATCGATGCTCCGTCTGAACAGAGCAGGTCTTTTCTAACACCAATACCCTGCAGTTCCAGAATAGTGTACAGGCTGAAGTGATGTGACCATACAGGAAAAGCCCTTTACAAAGGATTCTGCAGGGCAAAAGAATCCAGAGGCCACCCTGCCAGCAGAACTGGGCTGCCAGTTCAGTGGGGGCAGGGCCCACTAGCAGATCAATGTGTGCCACCAAAGCTAACCATCCCAGCGTGAAGGCAAAACTATACTGATCACTCAGGACAATGGAGGAAAGCTGTCATTCTCAGCCTGCCTAGGTCCTGGCAAAGTGGCTCTGGAAGTTCTTTGGCCAGCAAAGAGGCCCCAAGAGAACATCTAGGTGGTAAGCCAAGCCTGGAGTTGGGGAAAGGCCACCTTTGACCTAGTAGGAAAAAAACCACCAGTAGCTCAACAACGAAGAAAATGATCAAACTGGGTGGTGGATGTGTGAGCCAGCTGCACAAGACCCTCACAAGTTTATTCACATAGTTTTTGTGCACATGCACGTGGAAACCTGGGGACAAGCGGTTTTCATTCCTTTAAAAACAACAAAAATAGGGCTTCTCACTGACCTCAAACTGAGCAAATAGGCCAGGCTGGCTAGCCTGCAAACCCCAGGCATCCCCCTGGATTGCCTCCCCAGTTCTGGAACTAATGAAGTGTGCACCACAAAACACTTTACCAGCTGAGCTGTCACTGACCCCTCTCTGTCTGAAAGCCACAATGGTTGGTCATCAGCCAAAGTTCCAGACTTTGCCCCCTCTGTACCTTTAGGATGGACACACACATCCAGTGTTAAGATATGCGGAGGTCCACAGTGTTCCCCATATCAAATGAGCCTCTAGTCTGGACCACTACGGCCCATGGTCAGCACTGCAGAATTGGTACCCTTGTTCCAACCTGTGAGTTCTCAACTACGTTTCAAAGCCCAACTACTTATATTTTTAGATCACAACAAAAACCAAAGCCAACCACCAAAAGAGTCTAAGGATCAGTTCATGGGAAACAGAAATCTACAGCATTGCAGGCAGGGGCAAGCAGAGGACTCAGGGAGAGTTTGAGCTGTTAAAAAAAAAAAAAAAAAAAAAAAAAAAAAAAAGTCAGGGGAAAAAAGAAAAACCAAGAAACCCAGCAAGGAGAAAAAAAAGAAAAAAGGGGAGTTTTGGGAAGAAAAAAAAAAAAAAAAAAAAAAAAAAAACGAATCAGCATGGGAATGAAGGCATACCTGTAACCCTAGCAAACAGGAAGCCAAGATATATAAGGTTTTATGGAAATAGCCTGGGCTACACAGCAATACAGCAAGATCCTGTCTCAAAAAGAGAGGGGGGGGGCTTCCATGTAACTTGGTGCTGTTGGCATTTCCAAGGCCCTGGGCTCCCCAAGCACCGGGGAAGAAAAAAAGAGATCCTTAGGCATTTGTTACACCTGTCTTAAAGCAGCCTTGCTTCCCAGTGAAAGGTATCTTTCTCCTTCAACTGCTAACCTTACAAGGCCATCAGAAAACAAGCTGCCTGTCTTCTGTGGGTCAGTGTCAATGGTCTAGGATTTTTGCCAGCAGTGGAACCCAGACCCCTGCAGAGGCTCTGGCAAGTGCACTCACTACCCCTGAGCTACATCCCCAGCCCTTGTTCTGAGATATGATCGTAGCCTAGGCTGGCTGAGAACACTTATTTCAGCTTCCCAAGTGCAGAAATTACAGGCATGTACCACCAGCCTGGACTCTGTTTTTAAATAAAACACCACCCTCCCCTCTAGGGCCCTTCCTGCAGAGGTCTCTTCCTCACCCCTAAAGCCACCTTCAGCACTAGCTTAATGATAGGCTTAATGCCACAGGGAGGCCACCTTAGCCCTAGAAGAAAGTGGAAAAAAACGGAGTTCTTAGGAGTGGGGTCAGCGCCGAACCCCAGGCTGCTGTGCTAGGGCAGGAGCTCCCAGGGGTTGGAGTCTCTCCCTTCTGGGAGAGACACACCTGTTGCAAAGGCACCAAGAGGCAAGTCCCCTGGAAAGCTCCCACACACCTAAGCCAGCTCCCTCAAACCAGCCAGGCTGAGACTCAGAAGCTAGGGCTAACATGGTCCCAAGTTAGACAGAGCATAGGGTCATGGAAAATCTTATAGGGCTGGTGACATCCCTCAGGGGGCCAAACAGATAAGGGAATTTTTGTCTCGTGGGCTTGCTTGATCTGGAGGGGGCTTTGGGAAAACAGCATGTTTGGCCTACCCGCCTTGGGCTGGGGCTGGACCATCTCCACTCAGCCTCCGCAGGTGCCTCTCCTTTTCAAATGCTTTTAATGCTTTTCAGACAGTGAGAGCTTGTTGCAATGGCTGGAGGCTGGCTGTGCTGGTGGCTGAGAGCACCCCCTGCCTGCCTGCAACTCCTTCCCTTCAGGAAACAGCCCATCTTGTGTGGTAGAATGTTATATCCAGGGTGGCCCTGCTCCTCCTCCCCCCAAAGTCTCCCTCAAGCCCAGGAGAAGGGGTTCTTGCAGATCCCTAGGAGCTGATGACGTGCCCGGACCAGGTCTCGTGCTTTGTGCCTGGTGCCAGGTGGGTGATGACCACCTCTACAGCCTGCAGTTTCTCGTTCTTGGGTGGGATAGAGCACATCTTGTAGGTGACCTCGTCGCCTTCCACTGGAACATACTCCCCTTCCACACTGCAGGAGAGAAAGAACAGTTGTCAGGGCTGAGGAGATGGCTCAGCCCAGAGAATACCTACCTTGCAAGCATGAGTACCTGAGTTTGGATCCCCAGCATGTAAAATAGCCAGGTATGGTGGAGTGTACTTGCCCAAGGCTGGAGAGGCAGGCAGTCGGGGATCCCTGGTGCTGGCTGCCCAGTTAGTTACCTAGCAGACCAATTTAGTCCATATTTAAAAATAAGGTAGAGATGGAACTGGAGAGATGCCATGGTTAAAAACCCTTGCTGTTTGCTCTTGCAGAGGACCTGGATTTAGATCCCAGCACCCACATGGTAGCTCACAAACCCTCTATAATTCCTGTTCCGGAGAATCCACCCTCTCTGTCCTCCAAAGGCACCAAGTATGCGTGTGGTACACTTACATACATACAGGCAAATACTCATAAATTTTTTAAAAAAATAAGGTGGAAAAATGATAGAGGAAGACACCCAACATTGACCTCTCTGTCTGGCCTCTGCACACAAGCACACACATGCACACACACAAAGCAGTCAGTGCCCATAGAAAACAAGCCCCACAGACCCCACACTGGGATACCAGGATGGACACTGTCTTCCTGGTTACTCAGTCCTTCCAGAAACAGTGCCTCCTAGACCTTCTACCATCTGTGTCCTGGCCCCAGTGACTCCTCTCTGGGTCTGAAAGGCATGCTAGCCACCTTGGATGTTCACATATCAGAACTGAACCTGAGAGTGGAAAAGCCAGAGGCTCAAACTTAGAGAGCAGCTTTTCTTGGCTGCCTCTACACACTGCCCATGGTACCAGGACTCTCAGAAACAAACCATGTTTTTTTGCCCTTGACTTTTCCACCCAATGAACCTTAAAAAAAAAAAAAAAGTGCCTAATAAGCCAAGTCTGGTGGTACAGGCTTATAATCCCAGCTACTTGGGAAGCGGAGACAGGAGGACTGAAGTTGATTGTCTCAAGATAAAAAGTACAAAGGCGAGGCAGCAAGGTGAACTGGGGGATGGATTCGTGGTCTCACAGCAAGGGTGGTACCCTGATGATCTTGAGCACCAGAGCTAGCACCTGACTGGTTCTGATGAGAGGATCTCAGAGCAGTCGTGTTCTCCCTCTCTGATGTGGCCACCACAAGCTTCTAATAGCCTAGTTTCAGCAGTTGGCCACAGACATCTCACAGTATCTCCATCACTCACACTTTTGCCCTACCCCATGCTTCTCCCTAATTACCTTTCATACTGTACTGTGTGTGCTTCTCAATCCCCAAATCCTTCCTGGAAAGAGGCAGACTGGACATTTGTACACCCGTGTATGCATTCATACATGCGTAAAATGCATCCAACAACTTTTTCTCAAATCTGTGCTACATAGGGGAATTCTATTTTATTTTATTCTTTGAGACGAGAGAGTTACTATGTAGCCCTTGCTGGCCTGAAATTCAGGGTATGGACCAGATTGGCCTCAAACGTTCACCAACCCTCCTACCTCTACCTTCTGTGTGCCGGGATCACAGGCATACACCACCATACCTATCTTACAGGACCTTCTAACCAGACCTGGTACATAAGTGTGCTGGGTGCTGAAGGAGAGCTGGCAATAATTTCCATCACCGCAGAGGGGGTGCAGCACAACCCGTTTTCTCAAACTGTGGTTTCGAACTTGGCTGGGACTTCTGGGAAAAAGGCACTGCCTGCCACTGCTGAGTGAAACCGGATGTGTGGCTATTCAGTTGCTGGTAGGATGCTTGCCTAGCACGTGTCCCAAGCTTCGGACAAAAGCCAGGGTGGGCTGAGTGCTTGGGACAAAGGAGGAGGTCTGGATAGGGATTCTAGTTGGGGTTCCTAGGAACCCCAAAAGCTGCTGGGGAGCCGAGCCGAGAAGGGGCTGCTGGGGGCCTTGTGGGCCACATCCTGGATTCCTACAGGCTCTCAGACAGGAAGGAAGAGCCGCAGTGAGCAAATGGCAGGAGAAAGGGCCCAGCCCTGAGTTTCCTTCCTGGAGCAGAAGAAACAGACAGTCCCCAGACTCACAGGCCACTCCCTTAAGGAGGCTAAACAAACTCTCCCATCCCAGGGACACTGTCCTCCCATGCCAGACACTGTACACACAGACTCACCATGAACCATCCTGCACTCAGGATGGGGCACCCAAAACCTCACACAATTCAGAGACACTGTCACTGTCACTGTCACATATGGACTGCTGGCCAGCCCCACACACCTGACATACACTGTCCTTCCCAGCATCACTCCATTATACTGTCTCATACCGCATGGGGCCATAATGGGACCAGCCCCCTACCCCCACACAGCCCTCCAGATATGCTGCAGTGAACTCACTCAGAGATATGCAAGAAGATGTCAGGGCCACCATCAGCTGGGGTGATGAAGCCGTGGCCCTTGGACCGGCAGAAGCATTTACAGACTCCTTTGTAGACAGGGCCCTGTGACGCTCGCACCGTCCTGACAGAAGGAAATGCAAAGGGACATTCATCAGTCCTCTACAACAGCCACCCCACCCCCACCACACAGCTACTCCCAGCTGTGCCCCAGGGAAGCCTGGCTGGGGCCACCATGTCCAGTCACACACACATAGGCTTTGTGTGCAACCCAGGAAGCCATTCACACAGAGCTATAGAAACGACTGGGTAACTAACCATGGCACATTTTTCTCAGGCCTGTTTGTTCATCGGGAAACAGGGAACTGAGGGAGCATCCCTTCAGAAACTGCAATGGCTCTAGCTCCCACTCTCAAGAGCCAAAAATCTACACCTGCCAGTGACCACCCTGACACTGTGTCTTTCCCCCAACCCCCACCACATACAACTGACAAAGTCAAGGCTTCACGGGGAAGAGGCCTCTGTGGCTAAAGCCCAAAATCTTACCACTCCAGCTGGGGACAGGTTCCCATGGGTGGCAAGGATGCCCCCCCGTTTTCTCACTAGTACTTCTCACCAAGCCCCAGGCCTCTCCAGGTGCCAGGGAGATCCTGCTTACTCTGGTAGTAGTAGCCCCATTTGGGGAAGTGTGCTTAGCCAGCCTGAGACTTACGCTGAGAAGGTCCTTGTCCGTCGGGTGGGCAAAGGGCTAGGGACTACATTGCCCCGAAGTGGGGATGGAGAGCGATCCCGGGCCCGAGGGGTATCCAGTAGCCCAACAGAAGTCTGATGTGTGGGGGGCTGCGGCGGTGGGGGAGGCTCAGATGACATGGCTGACCTACAGAGAGAAGAGGGCCTCTTAGGGTCCTGCCTCAGAGGACTAGACAGGCCATAGCCTGGCACTCCTAGAGGCTCACTCCAGGTCACCTTGTCTGTAGCCACACCTTGGCTCAGATGTCTGCTCAGGTGTCAGCACTGGGTTCCCTTGACAACTTCAGGCCTCCATCTCCACTGTGCAAGAAAATGCCAGGTCATGTGCTGGGGTGATGATAGCTCAGGCAGTAAAAGACTTGTCACACAAGCAGGAGATCTGGGTTTGAGCCCCACAATCCATTTATAATAGAAGAGCCTGGTGCGGGCTGGAGAGATGGCTCAGCTGCTAAGACTGCTTACAGCTGTTGAAGGAGTTCACAGCTCCAGGGGTCTGATCCCCTCTTGGAGTCTGCACACACTCACATGTACAAACCCACACACACCACGTATGCACATAGTTAAGCAACAATAAAAAGAAAACTTTTTGTTTTGTTTTTGGAGACAGGGTTTCTCTGTGTAGCCCTGGCTGTCCTGGACTCACTCTGTAGACCAGGCTGGCCTCAAGCTCAGAGATTCACCTGCCTCTGCTGGGATTAAAGGTGTGCACCCTCATGGCCCGGCTGATATATCTTTTTTTAAAGGCTAGGATGGTGGCATGCATTTATAATCCCAGAACTGGGAAGGCAGAGGCAGGTGGGTTCTCTAGGGCTGCTCAGCCAACCAGCCTAGCCTAATTAAGGAGCCTCAGGTCCCAGTGAGAGACCTTGTCAAAAACAAACGAAACCAAACCTGGGAGAAGAGCAGCTTAGGTTATTCTCTGACCTCTAGTGCTCATGCTCATACACTCATACATACACACACACACACCAGAGGGGGTTTTATGCCGGGTAACTCCCAATGGTAACTCCTCTATGTCCCAACACAGAGCTTGGCATGCTTAGGACACTCGGTAAATACCTTGAGGAGGTATTGCCCTCAGCCAGGGCTTCAATGCCCAGAGCACAGATCAATATTCCTTTCCCAGTGTCCCCCATCCTGCAAGCACTCTCCCTCCGGAGACTGCAGAGCACACCTCAGCAGTTCACAGCCCAGAGTGGCTCCCTGAGGGGCTGCCAGTGAGCTCACTGCCAGGTGGGTGACCACTGAGGAGCCATAGGGGAGGAGCACTCCAGCAAAGTCAAACCTGGCCCCTCCCTGCTATGAGAACCAGTTCTCTCAGTGACCCTCAGACATAGATTCAGGCAAAAGTTGAAAGGCAGCGGCTCGGCTCTCCATCCCTGCACTCGGGTGGGATGGAGTTGAGGCAAAAGGACTGCTATGACCAAGGCAGCTTGGATTACACTGGGAAACAGAGCCATTGTACACACGTGACCCTAGAACAGGGCAGGACCAGCCAGTCCTTTCCCATCTCTGGGCTCAGAGTCACTCAGGTGTGTCCCTTGACATCTGCCCAGGGATGGAGATGGGGACAGGAGAGCTAAAAAAAACAAACAAAGCCCAGCAGGGACAAGGAGCCTGAGCAGGTTTGTGTGTCCCTGTGACTGGCCTGTCAAATAAAAAGGAGCTATCAGCCAAGCAGCTGCTGGGTGCTGGTGCCGATGGTGGTTGTGGCAGTGGTGACGCACACCTTTAATCCCAGCACTTGGGAGGCAGAGACAAGTGGATCTCTATGAGTTTGAGGCCAGCCTGGTCTACAGAGTGAGTTCTAGGATAGCCAGGGCTACACAGAAAAACCCTGTCTCAAAAAAAAAAAAAAAAACCAATATATGTGACCAGTCTTCAAAAGAGCCCAGCTACCGTCTTGTTTCATTTTATATTTCAGGGTCTCCATTGCCCACACAGGCCTCAGGTCCCCAGTGCTAGGATTACAGCTGTATAGAACTATGTCCAATTTACATGGTGCTGTGGACCAAACCCAGGGCTCTGTGCACAGTAAGCGAGCACTCTACCAACTGGGCCACATCCCCAGCCCCCTCAGCTCTAGGTACACCAGGCCCCAGCTCATGACCAGACTTTTCCCATTTATAGTAACTCCATGGCCTCCAGAGCTGAGTTTTCACTTGTACTACCCAGCAAGGTCCATTTGCTTCAGCTCCAACCCTCCACACCTTGGGATCCTCGGGTTTGGGCAGGAACTGAATATCTCCCAAATATTCAGACTTGTCCTCCATATGCCCTGATCCTCTCTGGGGACTCAGTCCTGCCTGGCTGGAGAGATGTCACTGGTCAGCCTTCCAGAAGTGACATAGCTACTACTGACCTCCTCTTAGCTGTGGCCCCAGCCAGGGAGGACCACAAGTCTAGAGACGCCCCCCACCTTGAAGAGGTCTGGGCTGTTGGCCTGGCGGTCAGGTCTCCAGCACAGGTCATAGAGTCCTAGAATGTTTCAACGCCTGGAGTTCTGGGAAGAAGTCTGGCCCAGGACAACGGGGTGAGACCATGGGGACCAGATGACATCAGCATGAGAAGGAGAACTTCCCCCTTCTAACCAGACTCCCTGCCTCTGGCCTCCCCTCCCCCAACTCCATTCAGGGACACTTGGTTTCAGATCTTCCCACCTGCCAGCTGAGAGATCATAAACAATTCAGCCTCTCAGGGTCTTAGCTTCTGTATCTGAGAAATGGGAATTGTTTCAGCTTCGCACAAATCATGACATTAAAGAAAGTAATACATACAAGCACTGAGGTTACAACTCTGGCCCAGAGCAAGCAAGCAACAAGTACTGGCTATGATCATTGCTGTAAACTGCAATCACAAAGTCACTCAACAAACATGCCCAATACCAAGCCCTAGTCATGATACAGGAGAACATGGTAAATCACAGTGTCAATGAGCCGGTGGGGTCACAAAAGGCCAACTAACAAAAGGGATGAAAAGTAATGGAGTGGGCAGTGCCATGAAGACCTGGAATATAAGAGTCAGTCAGACATTTGAAAACGAGAGGGAGAAGCCAGGGGTGCTGGTTAGAGGAGCACTTTGGAGGCTGAGGCAAGAGGATCCTCTGGACCAGTCTGGGCTGGAGACAGCGAGATCTGAGATGGGGCGGGGGTGGGTTATTCTGGGGACAGACATCAGGGTGTGAGAAGTCCTGAGAGTGAGGCTGGGGAGAGTCTGCTATGGTTCCAGGCCTGTGAAGAGTCTGTGGGAGTAGGGTAGGAGTAGGAAGTAAGATTCAGGGGGCAGAGCCAGACCAGAAACCAAGTTGCATCACCCCATGGCTGTCATCACTGTCCCTTCCCTTCTTTGCACCTCTGCCTGTCTGCTCAGACACCTTTCCTGTGCCCGCCACTCCAGGCTGATGGAAAACTCCAGTGGACTTTCACTCTCCACTCAAGTCCCCCCCGTAGCTCAAATCCAGTCTCTTTCTTGGAAAGGCCCTCAGAAGCTCCTGGCCTTCAGTGGGCATCAGACTGAGGGCAACACCAGAGTCCCTCATCATCCCAGGGGCAGCCCAGGGCTGGGTACAGGCAAGGGTCTTGGGGACCCTGGGTGTGTGCTAAGTGCCACACTCACACTAGCTCAACAGTGGAAGAAAGTGAAACACAAAAAATGAAGTGATGAGGCAGGGCCGAGAGCCGGGAGACCCTAAGGCTGCTCCACTATCCAAACCAACCACTGGGGAGGCTGCCTGGGCTAGTCACAGCCAGCTCTACCCAGAGCCAGCCCACCCCAGCTGGCCCAGGAAGGGGACAAAGTCCAGCTGCAGTGGGGGAGGGTATCCAGGAAGCTTCTCCAGCCCTGCACACACCAGGGCACAGGCTGAGCAGCAGTCTGTAGCTGCAGCAGCCCCCGCTCTCACTGCCACCCTCTACCTGCTCTGTCAGCAGAACCAGACACGGCCATGGAAAAGGCATGGCCCGTCCTTCATGATGCTCTACTGGGAGATCAAGATGGGGCTGAGGCTCTTGCCTGGAAAGGCTCTGGGCTACACCCTAAAATGAGCCTCTACCTGAGACAAATTCTGACAAAATGAAATGGCCAAACTGTTGTCATGACTACCAAGACTAGGTACACACGTGTTTATTTGTGTGTGACTATGTAATGTGTACATGCATGTGTATGTGGGGCATGTTTATGTACATGATTACATGAAAACACATCTGCAAAATTATGTGAGGGTATCATTTTGAGACAGTCTCACATACCCCACCTGGATGCCACCCAAAGCGCCCTGAATCCTAGGCAAGTACTCTACCAACTGAACCACAGCTGTGTACATCCTGCCCAGAACTACCCTCATGTACCAGCAAGAAACCCAGGCCTTCTACTGCTCACTGGGGGTAGGGGGAAGACAGATGCATGGGACAACACACAGCACAATAAGACATGCACCCCCCTCTGCCAGACACCCCAGTCCAGGGAGAGGCCCAGGGCCCAAGGGCAGGATGCCACACCCACCCTCACTGTCCACCAGGGAGGGCAGGTCAGCTTCTTATCCTGAGAAATGTTTTAAACGGGGCCTCTAGCTGAAAATAGCCTGGGAATTTTCCATAGGCCTTATAGAAAGTCCTGGAAGATTCTGGGAGCTCGGCTAGGCACTAGTCTGGTCTCCTCAGTCCTCTATAGCCCATCTCAAAATCTCATGTCCCTGTCCATGTACCAAGCTGTCAGGCCCAGCACCTTCTCTGATCTTGGCCCTAAAGCTCCCAGTTTCTAAAAATGTACACCCCTACTACCTTTTCCTATTTTGAGATGGTCTTACACTACATAGCCCAAGTTGGCCTCAAACTCATGGTAATCCTCCAGCCTCAGCCTCCCAAGTACTAGGAGGACAGGTATGTTGTGAGCTGTCACAGCCAGCTGGGAAGAATCTTTTGAACTAGGGAATCATGTGCTTCCCAGAGGAACCTGGACTGCTGGAAGCCATTTACATTTCAGTGAAAGGGAGTGTGGTTTATGGCTCCTCAAAGGCAGGAAAATGGAGAGTCAAGGAACAAGAGCTTGGGTAAGCTGGAGGCTTCATTCTTGGGCAAGGCCAGAACCTCTTGAAGCCTGTTCTGCACACTGGGGTGTCCAGAATCTTGCAAAGGTTTGTGGCTGGGGAAGGCTACTGCTAGGCACTGTGCTGTGACATTTCCCACCCTGGAGCCCAGCCACTGTCAGCAGGAAGGTGGGTTACAGTCTCAGGTCACACTCAGTGCTTTTTCTGATGCCATAGGGGCTTCATAGGCACCAGACATTCGGATCCCCTTCCCGCTAGCCTCACCACTTCCCTGTCACATGAGGAAAGGGACAATAGATTCAGCAGCTGGGGCTTCTCACACTTTAGTGCCCCCAGGAATCTCTGGCCAATGTCCAACAGCAAACTCCCAACTCCACAGATGCGGGTGGGGTTAACCCGGCTTTGCTTGGTCAGTTAGCTGGGGATCGGCAGTTGCTTTTTATGGTGCTGGGAAGCCAGAATCTCTGGCTCTAGCACTGAGCTGTTCCCCCAGTCCCCAAGTCTGCCTTTTGAAGGGGTCCCAGAGAGACAGCTGCCGCTAAACTACCCAGCTCTCAAGAGGCAGGCCATCTGGGGGAGAGGACACACATGGACAGACATACTCACCCAGCACACAAAAACCACAGAGGACCAGGGCTCCATGAGATAACAAGGTTCATTTTTCACCATCACCTACATCTACACACACACACACACACACACACACACACACACACACACACACACGCCAGGCCCCAGACTAACAGCCCATAGCCGAGAGTAGGGGAAAGCTGAACTGGACACAGGGCTCCTGGAAGGCTCTGGAGGAGAGACGGTGCCTGAGGCTCAAAGCAGCAGGGCTAGCCAGCCACATGGTGCTCCATTGTTCTGGGAAGAGTGGATTCTGTTAGAGGGGAGGGGAGGGGTGCCAGGGGCGGGGCCATTTGGAACAGAGGCAAGGAAACAGCCCAGGGCAAGGAGACTACCCCATTCCCTCCAGCAGCCCAGCTGGGGAACCCTCGGGTGCTGGGACGCTGGAAGCTTCAAATTAGAGTCCAGAAACCCAAAGCAGTCCCTTCCAATAATGTTGCCCCTAGAACTAGCCCAGGAGTACCCATACACGGAACAGAGGACACTCTAGGTCTCTGCTTGAGTGTCCCTCCAAGGCCAAGTAGACCCCTGATCTCCACCAAACCTAGCCCTGAAATCCTCCATCCAACATTGTGCTCCGCCCTCCCCCAGTTTTTCTCACCTCCCAGTCTGATTCTCTTCCATTCTCTCCTAGGCCCACTAACTCCCTGCCTCGGTTTGGACGGGGCCATCAGCTTCCAATAGCTCAAAGCAGTACAGGCAGTGCCAGCCACACTGCAGAGCAGGAGGTGGGCTGAACAATAGTGGCCCCCCATGGTGTGTGCATGGTTACACTAGGGCCATGGGAAGAGCCCTTCCCACCCCAGCTGCCAGATAATGGGCACAAACCAAATTCTTGCCTAGCACTCCGTGGGACAAAGAAAGCCAGTTTCCCCCAATCCTAGGCTGAGCCTAACTCAGCGTACGAAGTTTGTTCTCGAGGGTGTAGGCTGTAAGGGCTCATGGTGGTAACCGTGTTGTCACCAGGAGGAGGTGACATGCTCTGAGGAGGCCCTGACCCAGATCGATCGCTTAGGGACATAGGTACGTCATAAAGTCAAGAAGGCACCAGGGAAGAAGGCCCTGCGGAAAAGTTTGAGCCCAACAGGACAAAAAATAGGGACATGGGATAATTTAAGACACAGATTTGTGGCTCGATTTTTAAGCTCATTGTTTTTGTTTAACTGGTTTGGGGTTTTGAGGGAGGGTTGTGCAGAGTTCTGCCTTAGCCTCCCCAGTCCTGGGAGTAGATCGCATTTACAGCAGCTGGCCTTGAACTTGTTACGGAGCTGAGGACAAATCCTGAATCCTCTACCTCCCCAGTGCCGGGACTGCAGTGTAGCCCACCACTATTGGCTTAATGAGCCAATTATTTTTCACAAACTCCTTTTGGCTTCAGCGTGGAGAACAAACGAAAAGCATCAAGACTGGGCCATGGGCAGAAAAGCAGCAGTATGGCCAGGAGAAAAACAAACAAAAAGTAGCCCTATTTCTCCAGGCACTTGGGCTAGCTAGCTCCCTCTATTCTCGCACACACCCCTTTCTGGAAGAAAAGGTTTTTTTATATATTCCAGTCCGCAGAGGCAAAGAGGCACCTCCACCTCTCAGAATCCAGGCCCTGCAGGAGAGGTGGAATCTCTACAGCTCACCCTGCACAGACCTACTCCAGAAAAGCTTTGAGATCACAGTCTGGCTTTTCAAATAAAATCAAAACCTAACTGCATTTCCGGCTTGTAAACAGGGCCGCTAGCGTGGGTGAAGTTTTCCTCCGCGCCCTGGGGGCCCCTATCCTAGCGCAAACACCAAGCGATTGCGCCCAGCCGCTCCTCCGCCCCAGGAGCGGCCAACCACCAGGGGCCAGGGCGGGCTCCCCCTCTCCCGCCCTGGCTACTGTCCCACCGCCCAGCATGCAGCTGGCGAGGCCCAGCCCGTCGGGGACAGCTCCTCCTCTCGCAAACCCCGAGTTCTCAACACCTCCGCCGGAAAACACAGGGGAGGAAGCGCCGGCCACGCACAAAACAGGTGGCCCAGCGGTAAGTACTAACCGAAGTCAGACAGGAATCCCTCCTGCTGCGGCCACACCCACCTGTGTCCCTTTAGGGTCAGTGAAAACCCGCGCTCCCCAAACTAGCCCAAGCTACTAGGGCATATCAGGGGTTGGAGGGGGAGAGACCCAGCGCCGAGCTGGAGAGCCGTAATGCCCCGCAGAGGGGAAGCAAAAGAGCAAAGCAGGCCTCGGCCCCATCCCAGCGGCTCCCGCGGCTCCCGCGCTCCCCGACGACCTTCCTTTGGGTCCCCGGAACAGCCGCTTACCTGGCGGAACGTTCGACTCCTCCAGCTGCGGCCCTCAGACTGCAAGAACGGAAAGGGACGGGGGGCGTGGCCGCAGGGCAGGGCGGAGTGGGGACCACGCCCCTTCAAGCTCCGGGCCAATCGGCGCGCGGCCCGGAGCTGGGACTGGTCCTGCAGGGAGGGAGGCGGGAGCGGCGCAGCTGCTGCCACGCGACCTTTGTGTTGAAGCCTCGGGGTCGCGAGCGCGAGACGCGAACGCGGGACTCGGCCTAGGGGCAGGAGGTGTTCCCCCCTGCGGGGCTGCGGACTCCCGGTGTGGGCCCGGTGCCCGGGAAAGTGGCTCAGTCAAGTCTAGGCATTCGGTGCCTGCCACTCCCCAGCACAAGTCCAGCCCCACCTGCCCCTGGCTCCAGATAAGCCGGGCGCCTGTTTTTTGTTGTTGTTGTTGTTGTTTTTAGTTTTTTTTGTTTGATTGGTTGGTTGTTTTTTGTTTGTTTGTTTGTTTGTTTTGCAAAAACTACCAGATAAAGGGAAAGGCAGAGACAGAAAAAGAAACATCAGAACAAGGGAGAAGAAAAGCTGTTGTTTTGTTTTTCCTATTGGTTAATTGATTCATTCTCCATTGGCTGATTTTGAGACTGTCTCCTTAATGGACTTGGGATAGGTGGGACCCTAACCCCAGCTTTTTTCAATTACTTTCCCCCACCCCCTTTGGTTTTTCTAGGCAGGGTAGCTGTGTACCCCTGGCTATCTGGGACTTGCTTTGTAGACTAGGCTGGCCTGGAACTCAAGAGATCCGCCTGCCTCTGCCTGCGGAGGGCTGGGATTAAAGGCGTGTACCACCACCACCACCAGGCTCAATTTTTATTTCTACTGAGCCCTTGAAACTTTATGTACTGACTAGTTTTGTGTGTCAACTTGACACAAACTAGAGTCATCAGAGAAAAAGGAGCCTCGGTTGAGGAAATGCCTCCATGAGATCCAGCTGTAAGGCATTTATTTTCTCAATTAGTGATGACTGGGGGAGGACCCGGCCCACTGTGGGTAGTGCCATCCGTGGGCTGGTGGTCCTGGGTTCAATAAGAAAGCAAACTGAGCAACCATAGAGAGCAAGCCAGTAAGCAGCACTCCTCCATGGCCTCTGCCCTGTTTGAGTTCCTGTCCTAACTTCCTTCAATACTGAGCAGAAATACGGAAGTGTAAGCCAAATAAACCTCTTTCTCCCCAACTTGCCTTTTGGTCATGGTGTTTACATCGCAGCAATAGAAACCCTAAGTTTATCTGTGGAAGTAAATGGTGTTGCTTCCAGCTTACAGAAAAGGAAACAGAGGCACAGAGAAATGCCTTTCTCCAACATGGAAAGCAGGCCCTCAGCATACCTTCCCCCAAGGTCAGACTCATATTTCCTAGGTGTGAGAAAGGGGTTCCCTATAAGGTGTTGTCCCTGGAGTCCAAGTGATATTTTATCCCTGCTGAAGCCCTCTAACCCTACCCCCAAGGGCATGCTGAACCAGCAAAACAAAAATAATCTAACAAAGCCAACTTGCTTCTTCCTTAAAGAGGTCTGTCCCTCCTCAAAGTGGGACTAGCAAATGGTAAAGTCACCTTGGGGAAAGGGAAAAAAAGCATTTCTAATAGTTAATAGTTATCCCATTCCCAGTCACCCAGTCACGTGGCCAAGAGATTGAATGAAGTATACAGTCACACAAACTCTGCCAGGCCCAGCTGTGGTTGGTTGGTTAGTTAGTTAGTTAGTTAGTTAGTTAGTTAGTTAGTTAGTTTTTGAGGCAGAGTTTCACGTAACCCCGGATGATGATTAATCATGGTTGTCATCTTTACCGGATCTGCAGTCACCTAAGGGACAAGCACATTTTCTTGGTTAGAAAAACTGAAGTGAGAAGAGCAACCCTAACTGGAGGCAGCAGTTAAAACCTCTTGGTTTTCTGCCAGCGTATCTTCCTTTCTCAGCGGTCAGTGTGCTTGCTGTTGCTGTTGCTGCTTCTGCCATTCTTCAACATTAGAAACCAGTGTCCTCCACCTTTCAGTCTGGACCATCAACTCTCCAGGAATCCTCCAGATGTTCAGTGCCAGGCTGGGCAGTCTCTGTTGCTCTCCACATTATTGTTTTGCAACAGAATCTCTCACTAATCTTATAGAACCCAGGACCGCTAACCCAGGGATGGCACTACCCACAATGGGTCAGGCCCTCCCCCATTGATCTCTAATGTTAGATCTTGCCATTTTAGCTAGGCTAGCTGACCAGCAAGCTCTCAGGAATCACTAATCTCAACCCCAGTTCCAGGTTTGCAGGTATGTACAGCCATGTCCAGCTAGTTATGCGAGTGCAGAGGATTCGCGCTCAGGTCCTGTTGCGTGCAGAGCATTTCTCCCCAGCCATGAGATATTCCGGTCTTTGTCGATTTGTGCTGGACATTAGGTACACAAAAGAAGAAGCCAGCTTTTCTCCATCCAAGAGGGCAGAGCCTTGGATAAACCCTAGGCAGGATATTCAAGAAAAAGGGAACTTGACCTAAATCCATTGCTCAGTTCTTCCTGTTCATGGTTCAACACTGCCCTCTAGGGGTGTGTGGAGCAAGTGTGAGGCACAGGGGGTGAAGGGTGGGTTAGCTCTCCCCACCTAGGGGCTCCTGTTTCTGAGGGCCCGGGCCAGGGATGTGGAGGAGGCTCAGGGTCTACAACAGATGAGGCCCTCCAGTACTATACCCACACTGTGTCTGTGGGACTAAGGACCTGTGCAAGGCTGCACCCTGACTCTAACTGGACCTCACCAGTTTTGTTCTCTAATTCTGAAATTGAGATTCAAGAAAGAGAATCTGTGGATTTTCCAGGGAGGCTGAGACCAGCTGTGCTGGAATAGCTCAGAACCACCCCAGGTCCACGGTGTGGGACACCATGACCCAGCAGTCACATCTCTTTCCTCCGGGTCCTTTGAGCCCAGGCACCAATTTCAAAAACATGAAACCACTGCAATAGTCACACTTTTTTTTTTTTGTTCATGTTTATTATATGGGGTCTCATTTGGCCCATACTAACTTCAAACTCACTATGTATCGGATGAACTGGAATTTCTGATTCTCCTGACCTGAAACTCAAAATAATCCTGCTTCAGCATCCTGAGTACTGGGATTGCCCTAAATTCTTATTATTAGTGTGTGTGTGTGTAAGAGAGAGAGAGAGAGAGAGAGAGAGAGAGAGAGAGAGAACACGTACTCCACCTTGCATCTAGAGGGTAAAGAATAGCTTCCAACTTTACATAGGTTCAATCCCTGGAACCCAGGTGACCAAGCTTGCATGTGAAGTAGTGCCTTTGCCCCCTCTGAGCCATCCTTTTTTTTTTTTTTTTTTTTTTTTTTTTTTTTTTTTTTTTTTGAGTTTTTTTCTCATGTATCCCAGGCTGTCCTAGATCTTGCTGTGTAGCTGAGGATGACCTCAAACTTATGATCCTCCTGCTTCAGCCTCATATATGTCAGGATCACAGGCATATGCCACCACACCTGAGTCTCTGGTTATTTTAAAAACCACAGCATCTCTTGAAGAATCAAGAGATCAAGGTGAGGAGGGTCCAGTCTAGCTGAGTGAAGGCAGGAGCATGGAGCACTGGGGACAGATGGCAGTTGGGGAGTCTGGTCACCTAAGGCTCTTCATACGCAAGGGGAGCGGTGTGGGCAGCACGTACCTCAGGAAGGTGCTTGCACTGTGGAAATGCCAGTGTGCACACACAGAGACACATGGCCAGCCTGGTCCCCAGCAGATGAAGGTGATGACTTTTATCACACTCTTATTTTGTGTGCTATGTGAGTGGGCCTATGTGGCCAGGGATTGAACTCAAGTTCTCAGGCTTGGCAGGCAAGCACCTTTACCTGCTAAACCATCTCACCAACCCCCTACTGCTTTTTCAATGCTGTTTGATACTTTTCAGTGTGGCCCTAGGCTGAATTGTGGCTACCCAGTTCTGAGCCTTACTATGCGCCATGCCAATGCTGTGCCATCCTGTGTCACATGGTGCTGGCTTAGAGCACCTCTCCAGTCCTCCCAGCAGGAGCTGAAACTGGGCCACTAGGATGTACCAGTGTGATCACTGAGGACAAGGCCCCCAATCAAGAAATAAATCATTTCACCCAGGGCCTGAGAACACCCACCCACTTCTCCCCTAGCCTTAAGGCTTCTTTGGTTTGGTTTGCAAGCTCCCTGTATGCAGCCCTGGCTGGCCTGGGACTTTCTAATAAAGACCAGGCTCATAAACTCACAGAGACCTGCTTGTCTCTGCCTCCTGGGTGCTGGGATTAAAGGTGAGCATCTCTGCGCCCCAGCTCATTTTAGAGCCTTTACACCTTCTGTCCCCTCTGCTGGAACTCTCTCCCCAAGGTCTTTCCAGGCGCCCTCCTCTAGTCATTACAGCTCAGTGTCCTTTCCTCTAAAGAGATCCTGTACTTCATCTGGATGAAACAGTACTCCCTCATTCAGTGTGTCCAGTGGCACTTCCTGGGGTGGGGGCAGGGAAGTCCTCCCTGTCCTTCTCTAGGCCCCTCATACACCCAGCCCACACAGTGTGCCCTTTTCTCATTTCCCAGCCCACACAGAACTCTTCTGGGAGAAAGAATGATCAAGATGGGAAATGGGGATTAAACAACTCTGGCTGTAGAGTCCTGATGCACACGAAGGGAAGAGAGCCCAGGGATGGTGAGTATGGGGCCCAAAGTCACACAACAGGAGAGGAACCAGATGGACTCCCAAGTGTCAAAACTCTGAACTTATTCTGCTCCTTCGGTGGCCTGCCTTGCGCTTGTGCCTCTGCTAATGCAAGCATTTTTGTTTTGTTTTGTTTTGTTTTTAGAAAGGGTCTCATGTAGCCCAAGCTAGTCTTGGACTTACATACAGCTGAAGATTGGCCTGAGCTACCAAGTGCTGAGATCACAGGTGTGCACAACTATGCCTAATATATGCTGAGGAAAATAATCAAATCCAGGGCTTTATGCATGCCAGGTTAGTGTTCTACCAACTGAGCCACACCTCCGCACTCACTGCAAACTACCCATGTTCTAAGCAGTAAGCTACTTCGTCACATGGACTCCTGGCATCTGTCACTCTAGGGACAAGCTTTTTAGAGAATCTACTCTGTACCAGGCACCGTGCAAAGGAGCTGGAAAATGAGTCAACAGTGATCAACCAAACTAGTTTGTAGGTGGTTAACTTCAGACACATCATTGTTCTCCAAACTGAGCCAGGGACTAGGGTGTGACTCTGTGGCAGCACTTGCTTAAGCAGTGCAAGTCCACACCAGCCCGATGAGCCAAACAGAAAAACAAAAAGCCTTGGAACCTGGTGGTGAATGTCTGGAGTCCCAACAGTCAGAAAGCTAATCAGGCAGGTTCAGGGAGCTCAAGACCAGCCCAGGCTCCAAATAGAAAGCAACTAAAATGAGCATGAGCTAAGTACTATGATGGGGGACCTGACTCTGTCCACAGAGGGCATGACAGTCCCCCAGGAGCGGAGAGTTGGATAGTCCAAGTGATTCTTGGCACCCTCTCATGGCTAAGCATCTAAAGAACCTGTCAGTACCCCACAGAGATGCCTGTATACCTGCTCTTATCAATACACCATTCACAATAATCAGATTGTGGAATCAGTCTAGATGCCCAGAGACAGATGAATGGGTGAAGAAATGCCATGGTTATGCACGGTGTTGCTTACAGTAAAAAAGAATGAAATAAATTCTTTGCAGGAAAATGGCTGGAAGGGGACATTCTTATGTGAAGCAAATTAAGCTAGATGCAGAGAGACATGGACCACATATTTTCCCTTGTGGAAGATAAACAGAGAAACATACAAATAGATGATAGACAGACAGACAGCTATATGATAGACAGACAGATGATAGGTAGGTAGGTAGATAGATAGATAGATAGATAGATAGATAGATAGATAGATAGATAGATAGATGAAAGTAGATAGAAGCTAGATTGATATATAGTCAGACAGACATGTGGAGGCTCACACCCACAATACCAACACTTGAGAATCTGAGGGAGGAGGCTCAAGATGAGTTCAAGTCCAGCTTGGGGTAAAAGTGACTTCTAAATCAGCCTTCACTGGAATGAGTCCATGCTTCAAAACAAAACCAATAGGCACACATAGCATTAACTGTACGTGAGCATATGTATGCATATGTTCAATATAAAAATGGAAGGGGACTATTTGGGATGAAGGGGAACAACAGGAGGACAAATAAGAGAAGATGCTGGGAAGGTGACGTGATCCAAGTACATTGTGTATATCATGGGTGAACCATTCATTTGAACAATTAACATGTGTTAATAATAACAGCGAAGGCGAAGCCTGGTTCAGTTACGCACGCCTGTAATCCCAGCAATCTGGGAGGCAGAAGCAGGTGGATCTCTTGAGTTCAAGGCTAGCCTGGTCTACAAATCAAGTCCAGGACAGCCAAGGCTATACAGTGAAACCCTGTCTCAAAAACCAAAAATAAAAAACAAAAACAAAAAACAGCAAGGGCTACTGATGGCTCAATGTTTGAGGCACATGCCATGTAAGCAGCAAGAGTGAGGATCAGAGTTCAAATCCTAAGAACCTAGGCAATGGTTTGAATGCAAATGGCTTTCACAGATTCATACTTGAATACTTGGTCCCCAAGTGGTGAAGCTGTCTGAGCTTAGCCTGCATTAAAAGGTGCAGGCTTAAGAGGAATGTGTCGCTGGGGGCAGGCTGTTAGCTTTCAAAGCCCACACCATTACCAGGTAGCACGCTCTCTCTCCTTGTTCCTTTCTCTCTCCCTCCCCTCCTTTCTCTCCTCCCCCCTCCCTCTTCCCCTCTCTCCCTCTCTTTTTTTCTCTCTCCTTCTCTCTCTTTGCCTTGTGCTGTGGATCAAGATGTGAACTCTCAACTACTACTCCAGTGTCATGCATGTCTGCACGCTTGCTCTGATCCTCATCATGCTGGTCATGGACTCTGACACTCTGTAACTATAAGCCCCACATTAAACATTTTCTTTAAGAATTTGCTTTGATCATGGAGTTTTGTCATGGCATAGAAAAGTAACTAAGACACCACCTAAAATGCCAGGGTGGCATGGCAGACGCCTGCCTGTAATTCCAGCACTCAGGAGGAGGCAGAGTAGGCTTATTAGTGGGTTCTGGGTCCAATTTAGAAATTCCGCATCAATGAATAAAATCCAGAGGGATCAAGGAAGACTCCTACTTAGAGTTACACACACACACATGTGAAAAGGCACATGCACAGTATGAACACAAACAAATGGCAAAGGAAAACATCCAGCAAGAAGCAAATATGAGGGTCATTGCATTTTCATGTTACTCCTGACATAAGGTATTATCAGACCCACTTTTCAGGGGATGAACCTGAGGCTCAGAGAAATGAAGACGCTCAGCAGGGTCCCACAGCTAGGAGTGGCATAGCCTGTACGTTGACTACCTTCTCCCTCTGGCCAGGCCTTGTTTTGATAGAGAAGAGGTTAAAACAACAGGAGCTGAGAAAGTGGCTCAGTAGTAGAACACTTAGCTAGAATATACACGGCACCACAGGGAAAGCGGTTTGGCCACTAGCATCTGTAGTCACTTGGGAGGTAGACACAGGAGGACCACGAGTTCAAGGTCATCCTCACTTCACAGCAAGTCTGAGGCCAGCATGAACTACTCAAAACCCTGTCTAAGTACAAGGCAACAAACTAATCATCCAGGTCTGGGCCCCAAAGAAGGCTGATCCTCAGGAGGAGGCCTGAAAGAACCTAGCCAGACCTGTCTGGCTCTCCACTGAGGCTCTGTGTCCTGGGCATCTAGCAGGCTGAGATCTGGCTCATGGAGACAGCTGGCTTCTCCACCCCTCTCATGACTCCTTACCTCTCCCACCCTGGCCTGGGGGTTCCTGGGTGAGAGGGCATTACTACCAAGGCATGTGAAAGCCCTAGGCTGCCTCATGGCATGGTAGAGCTTCCCCCTGATGATAAGGGTTAGAATTGTCAGGGTGAGTCATGTTGACTCCCGCCCTTCATTCTTCCCAGTCCATGCCCCACAATTCATGAAACCCAGGCCTATATTGGAGGGAATGAGACCGACCCTCAAAATCCTTGTGCTAGGGAGGCAGATCAGTCAGCCTGTATTCTCTGAGTCTGAGAACAGCCTGAGATATAGGAGACCCTGGGTCAAAAACAAGATCCTTAGAGAAGGCAGCCCCTAATCCTACCCCAAGAGGAAACATTCCAGTGGACACAAGAACCTTGGACCATGACATCAGGGTATTCCCGGCAGGATGGGGTGTGCTGTGATAAGAGGGGCATGGATCTCATTCTCATTCACATCCAACCTTAATCTACCAGTGATCCTCCCAAATTAACTTAAGAGCAGAAACTACATAGCCTCCCTAACTCATTCCCAAGCCCCATAAAAGGAAGTCTGGGTGGTCTAACCCAGAACAGCTCTCCACCTTGACCAACCAACCATGCTATTGGGGTGGAAAGATCTGCCCACAGTGGATGGCAAGACGCTAAACTGTGGAGAAAGAACTGTGCAGGCGTCACTGTTTCGCATTTCGGATCAGCTGTTTCAAGGCACCTTCATTTCTCTGCCATGGTGGAGCTAATATAAACCCTTCTCCCCCTTTTTTGTTTGTTTGTTTGTTTGTTTGTTTCAAGACAGGGTTTCTCTGTGTAGCCTTGGCTGTTCTGGACTCCATTTGTGGACCAGGCTGGCCTCAAACTCACAAAGATCCACCTGCCTCTACCTCCCCAAGTGCTGGGATTACAGGTGTGCGCCACCGTGCCAAGCCCTTTCCTTTTTTAAGTTGCTTTTGTCAGGGAGTTTTGTTACAGCACCAGAAATGGAACTGAGAACACCAGGTGTACCCAAGACTCTGGGTTCCTTCTCAGGAATTCCAGCACTCCAGAGGTGAAGGTAGGGAGATAGGAGTTCAAGGTCACTTTCAGCTACATAATAAGCTTGAGCACCATCTAACAACATAAACTTCAAAGTCTATTTACTTTGTACATTAACTTTAAACTTCATTTCAAATGCTCAGATTACAGAGATCCTGAAACAATTGTGTGGTAGGCAGCTCACATGCCTGCTACCTTCATCTCACCTTCAGCATGCTGTTGTACAGCTGTCTAGGCACCTGACAGGGATTAGCTTCTCTGGTTCTCCTGCCTCCACCTCTCCAGTTCTGGTTTGTAGGTATAGGCACCATATCTCGCTTATGTAGTGCTGGGGGTCAAACCCTGGGTTTTGCACATTTGACAATCACTCTACAAACTGAGCCACTTCTCTAGTCCTGTTTGTTGTTCTTCAGAGACAGACTCTTGCTATATAGTTCAGGCTGGCCTGGAACCCACTATAAAAACCCAACCCAGCTTGGCTTTGAACTCAAGCTTTACAGTGATCCTCCTTTTTCCACCTTTCAAGCACTGGGCTTCTAGGCAGATGTATGTTATCAGTAGTAACACCTAGCTCATCTTCTCTTTTTCTCTTCTTTCTTCTCTTTTCCTCCTTCTTTCCTTTCTTTCTTTTTTTTGTGTAAGGACTCAATGTGTATCCCACAATGGCTTTGAATTCTTCAGCCTCCTAAGTGCTAGGACCACAGGCTAATGACCCCAGGCCTGGTTAGATACTTATCTACATTCTAATTGGAAGGACAATGATGGTGATGGGTTCCTCAGCCAGGACTCACACAACTCAATGTCTTAGTTGATCTCCCAATGCAACTCACAAAGCTTCAACCTGCTATTGCGATGGAGAGGGTAGGGAAAATGGAAGGGTCCTTCAAGCTGAGCCATGGCCAGGCAACCGCTCCAACAGGCACTGGAGACAAGATCCCCTGCTCTGTGCACCAAAGACATCACAATGGCTGTGACAGCTGTAAGAGCCCTCCTTTCTCCCAAGGGACTTCTGGGACCAGGAGCTTGTCCTCTCAGAGCCTGGAACCCAACGACATTGCTCAAGTTGTACTTCTGAAACAAAGGACTGTGATGGCACCAAAGGGGAACCGTATCAATGGTGAGGGACCTCATTCAAGCTGGGAGAGGGTGTAGAGAAGTGTGAATGGGGAGGGACAATTTGCTGATCTGGGGGCTGATCCCATATCCTTACCCTAAGTCTTACTGACCGCTACTACTCAGGTGATCCAGTAGGGACAATGGACATGATAGGCCTCCAACATCTCCTCCCTGCCTCGAAGCATCCCACGGAATCTGCCAAGCAATGCTAATGGCTCCCACATCAGTGTAACCTCTGGGTGGCACAGCACTTACACCAGGGCAGGAGCTAGTAAGAGCTACCCACATGCTGAGGTGGCCCTGGGAAGGTGTCTAACCCACTCTGAACTGTTTTCTCATTGGAATTCCTGTTGGCTCCATGTAAATGATCAAGAAGATCCAGGCTGAACTGGCACACACATTTAATCCCAGCACTCAGGAGATAGGGCAGGCAGGTCTCTGCTGTACACACTGAGTCCCAGGACTATGGAGAGACTATCTCAGATAAATGAAATAAGATAAATAAAATAAAGGATCCAGAATTATTCAGCTGCACTCTCACCCAGCTTGAGACAGGTCACATGTGCTTCATTTCCAATCATTTTTTTCCTTCTCTGTAAGAAAAGCCTGAAAACTAGCCTCAGACAGAGCTTCTGGGCCCACAGACTGTTGCTATTTATTTAAAATGATGCCACACATACAACAAATATTATATGGAAGAGATGTATGGATGGAGGTGGAGAGATAGTGAGGAAAAGGATAGAGAGAGACATGGTGAGGAGTCCCCAGGAAAGAAAGCTAGGCAAAGAGAGCAAGAGAGGAAGGTAATAGAGCAACAAAATGGCAGGTTGGTCCTTTTATAGCTTGTGCATGAGCAGCTGAACGGCACCTGCCACACACCTGGTGAGCGACACATGATGACATCATAGGTTACTAGGCAACCCAGAAGCAGGCTGCCTATACACTAACACAGACACCTCTTGTCTCCAAAGTCAACACAAAAGGGCCTCATGGTCAGGGGATGCCTGGAAGAAGACTGTTCAAGAAGCTGTGAGAGGAGGCTATGGAAAGAGGCTCTGAGGGGAATCTCTGAGCAGAGAGGCCCCAGAGACCCACCATAGCTACTAGTTCCTTTCCTGGAAGGGTCAGGCCATCCGTAAGCAAGCCCAAGTCCCCGCAGGCAACTAAAGGTTGTACATGAAACTAAATGGGAACCTTCCTGTTCATCCATGATTAAGATCATGGTGCCTAGAGCCAGGCTCAGTGGCACACACCTATAATCCCAGCACTAGGGAAGGCAGAGGCAAGTGGATCTCTGTGAGTTCAAGGCTAACCTGGTCTATAAAGTGAGTTCAGGACAGCCAAGGCTACAAAGAGAACGCCCCTGTCAAAAAACAAAAACAAAGCCAAATGTAATAGTGAAAATTTTAGAATTTTGGTTTAAAAAAAAAAAAACAACAACAACAACATAAGAATGTTTTGTTTTTTTTATTCCCATGTGTTGGGATATGGGGCTACTTTGCAGCAGCTGACTGTGATTTTCCTCATGTTCTAGCAGGGGTGTAATTTTGCCAACTGCAAATACTTTCTGCGACTGTATGACATTTGGAATTCTGGGGACTTTTTGGAGGGTATATAAAATGTTAGAGCCTTGATTTGGGGGGGGGGGTTGCTTGCTTGCTTGCTTGATGTTGGTCGTAGTTTGTTAAGTAGTTGTGCACAAAGAAGAAACAGAAGAAATTAGATATCCTGATGGTGAAGATCAAATTTGCCCCAAGGAGGTCAATGCCCCTAGTCAGCAAGAAGTAGTCTAACAATAATGTCATCCCCTTTCTCCTCTATCCTTTTTTTCTCTCCTACTAGTGTTAGGGGATTGAAAGGGAGGAAGAAAAGGGGTATAGAAGGGTGAAGAAAGAACCCATAAAGTGGCAAGTGCCAGTTACCTGCCTTTAATCCCAGCACTCAGGAGGCAAGTGGATCTTCTTGAATTCAAAGCCAGCCTGGTCTACAGAGCAAGTTCAGGACAGCTAGGGCTACACAGGGAAACCCTGTCTCAAAAAAGAAAAAAAAAAAAAAAAAACAAAGCCAAAAAATCACGGTGGCTCATTCTAGGTGTGATGGCTTATTCCAATAATCTCAGCACTTAGGACATTAAAGGAGGAGGATTGCTGTATGTTCCAGGCCAGTCTGAATGAGACTTGAACTCAAAAAAACACTTGGTAGAGTGCTTGCTTAGCATATATGAAGCCCTAGGTTTTATTGTCTGGAGACGGAGTGCAGACCCATAGGTAGAGGCTAAGGGCCAGATGCTCCCAGCGAGTCTGGAGACATAGTCCTGTCTCAGCTTCCTCCCTGCCACAAAAAGCATAGAGGCCACCGATGGAAAACTTAAGTATCCTAACTTCAGAGCCCATGCTGAGGTTAGGTCCCTAGCCTCTGCTCAGGAACCTACCTGGTCTCTAATACCTATTTACTGAGTGCTCTTCATGAAAGGTATTCAATCTTCTGAGCCTCATCCCCTCACCCGCCAAATCCAAGCACTGTTTTGTTGGTGAAACATGTAGGCTGTTTGGCACACAGTGCAGCCAAATGGCCCTGAGCTATGCCGCATCCTATACCTCTAGCACTTGCCCTGTGGACAAGAAGGACATAAGTGGAGTCAGAAGTGCCTGAGTTCAACAACTGGCCCCTCCACCTCCTATGTGTGTAACTGTGGGCAACTCGGCTCATGGTGGCAGTGGCAGCCATGTGGTGGCTCAGTGCTGGCACATCTGAGCCCTGGGACCTTGCTTTTTGCTTTTCTCTTTCAGACTTTCAGCATCCTAGGGAGGCACCACCTCCTTATTACTCTCCTGGAGCAGGAGTGCCAACATCACCCAAGGTATATTCCCTGTACATCCAGGTCCCACCAACGAGCCAAGCAAGTAAGTGGAAGCTGCCTGTCCTCCTGTGTCTCATGCTCAGGCTCCCAAAAGCCTATTCACTAAGCTTAGGGCCAGAGTACCTTCCCTGGTGCGCGCCCTTCCACAACCCACTCTACTGTGAAATTCTTAGGGGGGAGGCATTGTTTGTTTGTTTTTCAGAAGTTTCTCTGCAGAGCCCTGGCTGTCCTGAAACTTGCTCTGTAGATCAGGTTGGCTCTGTAGATCAGAGCTCCTCCCACCTCTGCCTGCTGGGTGCTGGGGTTAAAGGTGTGCACCACCACCACTGCCCAGCACCTGTGAGAAATTCTTGGGGATGAGGCTGGTAGGTGTATGAATGTTTTGCCTGCATGTATGTCTACATACCACATGTATGCCTGGGGCATAACAGCTAGACAGCTATTTAAGAAGAGGCAAAATGGTGATCTGTGTGTGTGTGTGTGTGTGCGTGTGTGTGTGCGCGTGCGCATGCATATATTCACTCTTTTCTTTCATGTACCTGTCCTTGGGGCATTTTAGCCACAGGGCCTGGAAATTGGCTAATGCACAGAACAAAAGACAGTGGGGCTGTGTCTGGTAGGTTGTGCTAGGAACTTAACAGGTGGAAAGGACCACATTTAGGAGCACAAGGGCTCCATGGCTGACGGGCAGGCATGTGGCGGCTTTGGTATAGGTGAGCACACGGAAGGTGAGTTACGATACAGGAGGGGTGTCTAGGCATGGGTGCTGGAGACAGGGAGGAAGAGGCTCTGATCTGACCCATCTTCCCCTGCCCCCAGGCATGTTCACTGGCCTACCTAGGGTGACAACTTCCATACCAGTGCATACCATATGTCCCTACTGTGGGAACCACATCATCACGGTGACAACCCCTGTCCCAGGCATCCTCACCTGGCTGCTGTGCAGTGGCCTCTTTCTATTTGGGTAAGCAGTGGGGACTTGCTAAGGACAGGGTGGAACTGAGATGCAGCTGGGGACAGGGGTTAAGACAGAGCTAAGGACAGAGGGAGGTCCCAGACTGGCTCTGATTACTTCTCTCAGGGGAGATTGCCTTCAGGCTGGCTGGCTGTGGCAAAGGATGGGGGCAGGGATAGAAAATGCCTGCCTGCTGGGCAAGTGGCTTCAGACAGGTTGCCATCATGACAACTGCCAAGAAAGAGAGGGCTCAGTATGGCTCTCAGCCCTGCTCTGCAGAACCGCCCCAAAGAACTGAGGCCCACCAGAAGAGTGATGAGGGTGCAGGGCAGCACAAGGACCCTGCTCAGGGGAGCACACCTGCTTCTGGGGCTGCAGGTGCTTCCTGGGCTGCTGCCTCCTCCCCTTCTGCATGCGGAGCCTCATGGACGTGAGACACTCCTGTCCCGTGTGCCACCAGCAGCTCTTCTACTACCGCCGCCTGTGACCTGCACAATAAACAGCAATAAAGTACCTCAGTGTGTATGTGTGCCCTCCCATACCCTTCTAATGGGGAGGAGGATGAACAAGTGAAAAAACCCTTCCCCTTCCTGTGCTTTCCATGTGTGATGGATGGTACCTATGTAAGCCTGGGTCACAGCATGTGCTGGCTGGTGTCTTCTTGGAGAGGGGTAAAGCTCAAGCCTACCCATCTCGGGGTTCAGCTATAGATGCCACAGCTCCGCCAGCCACTTCTCTTTCCTGGGCCCTTCCTTCCATTAGCTCTAACTTCTGCCCCTTTGGGAAAACCTGTTACCCACACCCTCACCTTTATAAACCCCCAACCCACTTCTAGGTTCATGCCAGCTACCCCTTTCCCCAGGGACCAGTGCCCCTCCCCCCATCACTCTGTAACACCAAATGAGCATTGTTTTCTCTTCCCCGTCGGTCTTGGATCTCTGCAGTCTGAAATCCTCAGTGTCCCATGGGTCACTGGCCACTGGCCACCAATGTCTTCTGGCCACCTCTTAGCAGGTTTCCTTGGCCTGCTTTGTCCTCAGTCCTGCTCAAGCTCCCTTCCCCCACCTCTCTAGGTTTCTGTCTTCCCTGCCAGCCCAGTATCCCACAGCCTTCTCCCCTGGATGATTCATGCATCCAGGAAAGCCAGCATGTTAGGCTAGGAGGGGGAGTTGCCTCACAAATATGAGGACCAGAGTTTGGATCCCCAGAACTCATACAAGTGTTGGTTGGGCAGAGTGGCCACCTGTAATTCCAGCCTCCTTAGTCGTGGAAAGACGATTTTGCAGAGCAGGCTGTCTAGCGAGAGTAGTCATATCAGCATGCTCTGGGTTTGAGAGAGCCTGCCTCAGTAAGGTGGAAGGTTTGAAGATGATCTCCCACATCAACCTTGGGCCTCCATATACATGTATGTACATGAATACCCACACAGGTACAGGCACATATGTGCAAACACACACACACACGGGAGGGGAAAAAAAATCCTTACTAGGTCTTAGATTCCTCTCCTACAAGAGTGGATGTATGGGGAAGGCATGGCCACCTCCTCTCTCCCAGACACCTCCAGTGTAGCCCTTCCCATTCACCTACAACCTGTTCCACTCCATCTTGGCTCACACTCTACTGTTCCTCCCATTCCTCACCAGCCAGCAGCCTGTGGCTGACAAAGACAAGGTGATGCTGCTAACATGGACACGAACTCACCACTCATTCAGGAGGCCTAGACGGAGATTGCCAGCCCGAGTTGCACATAGTAAATGCCCGTCTGTTAACAAAAAATCAATAAATACAAATAAAATCCGTCACTGGTATTTTCAAGTTGACACACTCCAGAATTGTCTGGGCAATGTGCCTCGCCTGTGGAGGCAAGGGGACCAGCCTCTGTGGACAGCACAGTCCCCTGGCTGCAATCCCCCGACTGTTTAGAGGGAGGGAACTACAGACCACACCCATCCTTCTCTGCTTCCTGTTTGTATCATGTGACTATCTCTCTCAAGCTGCTGCTGCCTTCTCTTCCTCACCATGAACTGTAAACGAAAATAACCCTTTCTCCCTTTATTCTTGTCAGAGTATCTTACCACCGCAATAGGAGAACTCTGACAGTCACTTATACCAGACACCTAACTAGAACTCAAAGATCACACTCTTTCCATGAGGTCACCTGAGGCCATCTGTGAGTCACCATCCAGACAGCACATCCCTCCAGCAGGCCTGCCTGTCCTTCCGTCCTTCATTTCCATCCTGTGTCACTTTCCTAGGCAGATTAATGAGCCTTTCATGGTTCAGCCTGACACCCCCATGACCCAACAGAAATGTACGCAGGGGCTACGGAAGCTGGGAAGGGTTGAATCTTGCCGAGTCCTTTCTGGGATGGGCTCCCCAGTGAGGCTTACTCCTTACAGCTCCCTCCCAGGTTACAGGAAGGAAGTGGCTGTTAAAAGACCTCCAACTGGCATGTGGATGAGGAAGAAGGTGCAGGGAAATCCAGTTTCAGACTAGTCAGGTTTTTGTGTTTGTTTGCAATGCTGAGGATTGAGGCCAAGGGGTTCATGTATGGCTGGCAAGCACTCGACCACTGAGCTACATCCCAACCCCCTTTTTATTTTGAGACAGGGACTCACTAAATTGCCCGGGCCAGTCTTGAGTTTGCCATGTATCTCAGGCAGGCCTGCATGGAACTCATCACCGTCCTGACTCAGGCTATGGCAGGTGTGTACTACCACACCGGAGCTCCATTTAATTTTTCGTAAATGTGTTTAAAAATCATCACAGCTATCCTCATTTGAACAGAGAAGGGAGAGTTGAGGAAAGCACTTGAAGAAAAAAAGCACGTGCTGGGGTTCCCTGTAATCCCCATACTCACCACAGAAGGGCAGTGTTGCGCCAGCTGACAGAGGTAGAAACCTAGGCCCAGGTAGCCTGGTGACTGACTTAATGGGGCAGCCGCTCAGGCCTGCCTCCCATACCCTAGACTAGCTGGAGGGCAGATTCCCAGGGTGCCCCTGTTCTGGGCAGGACTGACAGTAGCCTGACGTGTATTAGCATGAGGTGAGTAGATGTACTGTGTGGGGGCTGGAGGTTTACTAGGACAAGAGCATCTCCTAGCATTCCAGGCTGGGATTCCTGGAAGCCTGCAAGTCAGGTGAGACACGTTGCTCTGGGGCAGGCAGCTCTTCGAGGCTGAGGGAAGTCCCTGACAATTGGTCTACCAACTGCAGTGGAGGCCCTGACATGCTGGGAAGCTGGACTTCAGAGCTGGAATGGGCTACAACTGCAAGCCTTAACTACCTGCAAACAGGCCTGACACCAGATAGCACCACCACAGTGACCTGTTTGATAAATAGGCTTCTGAGAACCCAAAATATGGATGCCAAGTCAGCATGGGCCTTAGTGCCTCAGGCAGGACAGAAAGCCTTGAGACCCGGGTGAACCATCTTTACCTAGAACTGCTCAATTCCAGAGGTCCTGTTTAGATCCCTTCCCAGCCCCACGTGTTAGTTTTGACTTGTATTCCTAGACAGGTCCAGACAGGAGTGTCTCAGTCCTGGGACAGAAACCAATTGTCACACCATAGTGTGTCAATTGTAGTCCCTGGACCACCACCCCACAGATCAATTACAGGCTTGCCATCTCCTACAAATTGGAAGAACCCCACTGAAAATCCAGACTGTTCAGCTTCGTGTGACAGGTCTGCAGGTGTCTGCTGACTCAACAGTGAGGGTGCTAACAGGGTGCTGATCTCAGTGCCCAGTGAGGGGCTGAGAAAGGCTGCTGATAACATTCTAGGCTTCATCTCTAGACGCCCCACCCTCCAGTTCAGAGCCAAGAGTCACCCAGCCTTATCGTAGGAGCAGGCAGATGGGTGCGGTGTGGCAGGCCTCTGCTATCAGCAGTCACCAAAGGTGGTTTCTGTGCCCACTCCCAGGCTACCGTCAGCCCTGCCCAGAGCAAGCATACCCTGGGAATCTGCCCTCCAGCTAGTCTAGGGAGTGAACAGACACGAGGGCCAGGGAGAGAAGTCTGGCAGCATTTAATGCTCTTAGCTCCTGTCCATACCACCTAGCAGGAAGGCTGACACTGCCCCTCAATAACAAGGAACCTCAATGAACTCCCCCAGCTTCCTCAACCTGAAGCCCTACCGCAAGCCGAACCCTGAAGAACTAAGCTTAGGATGTACAAGGGCCTTGTGTTGCAGGCTGGCAGAGGATAGGTGAGCTCACCGCAGAGAAAGCAAAGCGGGATCTTATGAATAGTCTGCTCTCCTAACATGTATCCTGGGTTGGAGGTACAAGCTAGGACCCTGCTATCTACCCCTAACATTCAGCCAACAGCACAGGTACATGACCTAACATGGGCCAGTGATCCCTGGCAGGGACAAAGAGTAGCATACCCACAACTTTGCCCTCAGAATGTTCTCAAAGCATGGAGAGTCCCAGCTTACAGGCCTCACACACAGGTAGCAGCAGTGTACAGCCATACACGTCCTCCAACAGCAAGCCTAAAGGACACATAGGTGTGCTACAGTCCTGGGGTGCTTTTTGTCTACCCAGGAAGAGAACTCCCTGGGCCTTCCTCCAAGTCAACAGGTTGTAAGGATTGCAGCTCAACAGGAGCAGACCAACTGTCACAGGGTGGGGGAGCTGGCCTATGGCTGTGCTGTTGCACTCCGGGCACACACAGATCAGATCAGTCACGGTCCTCCTTAAGAAGTGAGCACCAGAAATGAGCACCAAATTTCAAGTACTCCCCTCTTCCCAGGGTGCAAGGCCTGCAGAGGCCTGTGGCAATTAAGTGCCCTAGGAAGTCAACCCCACCCACTCAGGAGACAGTATGTCAGAGTGGGGTTGTGGCACCAAAGACCACACCGCAAAATCACCCCTGGCCCAAAAGGCACCCACATTAACCACCAGGTCTTCCATGAGATGCCAACCCGGGCTTCATTGCCATGAACCCAATCCACCAGAGAAATGTCTCCTTGACAATTCATACAGCTTAGAGGTGATAAAACGTCCTGCAGGTGTGGGCAGGTGCAAACCCAACCTCAGGAGACTACACCACATCCAGGTCACTGCAGACAAGGACCTGCATCACGCACAGAGCAGACTTTCTTGGCAGTCAAAGCTCTGGGACTGAGGTGCACAGCCTGCACTGGCTCACCATCCTGGGCAGGACCACCCCATTCCCACTGGGCACCACCAGACTTGGTTTTCACTCTTGCGGACAGGGTGACTAGACTCACAACTGGGATCACCCTCTGGCAAGGACTTATGGATCAACTTATGGATCGATGTAACTGCACATTTATCCTAAGATGAAGCACTACAGGATCCTCCCTGCCAGATGTGCTCAATGCTCACAGGCAACTGACTCAACGCTCTTGAGGGCCTGATTACTGTCAAGAGGGGTCCCCAAGGACCCACAGGGAGACCTGGGACACTGCCTCAATGCCACAAAGCAAGGATCTGCTGTTGAAGCTAACCCTAGCAGATAACATACCTTCATGGTAACTGTTTTAAGACTGGGTCTCACCCCAGGCTGTACCAGATCTCCCTCCTTCCACTTCTTTACTGCTAGGATTATGGGGCTACACATACACCAGCTTCACATCCTGAGCAGAACCACATGGCTACAAACCCTCATAGAGGCCACTCTCTGGCCCAAGACACCCAGCCACCCAACACTGTGGGTGAGCACTCCCCTACATCAACAGCCACATGGCCAAGCAAAAGGACCCAGCATTTTCAGGGGATTAAAGCAAGTATGTTGGAAGACACTTGTGTTGGGAGGTTGGTCTGGTGCTATGTATACAAATGCTAAATTCTGGTCCCCACAATCTGGTTGCAGATGAGTATATTTCCTCATACACCAGTCTTTGGACTCCCCCAATTATTTATTTGTTAATAGTTACAGCTGGCCAATTGCTAGGCAAAACAGAGACAAGGGGGACTTTTGTGCCAGACTTGGGGTCCGGGATAAGGACTCCAAGGCCAGGAGGTGGAAGAAGAGAGGAAGAAAAAGATGATGTGGCCTAATGGAGCAGATCCAAACCAGAGAACAACATATTGGCAAGTAACTTGGACAGTAGTACTGGGAGAGGCTGCCACCATCAGCTTAGAAAATTAGTTTAAACTGTACCTGTCCAATTATTGGGTAACTAGCTGGATCTGAGAAAAGCCATTTGTAACTGTGCTGTTCCCACTGCCCAGACAGTGGAACAAATGCCTGGGCCATAGGCTTTGGCTTCTTCCCCACTTTTAACTTAAAAATTACCCATTATTTCTATTTTATGTGTGCCACATGGCTGGTCACCTTTCACTAATTTCACGTGTCCTTCCTTCTTGGGAGTCCAGGGATGAAATCTTCCTGCCTCTCTCTATCCCCAAGTCCCTCTCTCTGCTGGAACTTCTACCTCCTTATTTCCTGCCCCAGCTAACAGATCATCAGCTTTTCATTGACAGGTGATGTTCCATACAGACACAAGAGATTCTCTCTACACACCTGTTTCTTAAATTTAAAAGCACCCACTTCTACCTTCCTCTACCTTCCTCCAAATTAGGTAATGAACCCTCAACATTTTGGGAACTAGGAGTAAATGGAAAAATGAATGCGGCACACAAGAAGTTCTTTGAAAAATAGTCATTTAATATGTAAGGGAGAATAGAAATCGTGGGTACCTAAGACTGACCAACCCCAACAAACCCCTG